TTATACACTTAAACTTTTTTGTCCAACCATTTAAGAAGATTGCATGATAAATAGTACTTTCAAGTTTATCGCATTCAGATGCAACAGACAGACGACGGGGATTCTATTTTATGATATGTTGATATATAGAATAATATATAAATCTTAATTAATTATGTTGAAATTATATTGCCAAATAAATCAAAGTATTTTTTTAAGTCAATTCGTACAGACGATAAGGATTTATGATCTCTACGTACCAAGACATGTTCGACTCATATTAGTATACAAGATTATTTGCGTTACCAAAAGTCATTATAGTCAACAGCACATATATTTTTTGTTGTGATCTTAGATATGATAAATAAAAATAACCCTCACCTGTGATTTGATTGTGACAGAGTTTATGATCAGTAATTAATAATTTTAATTGTATACCTATCTATTTGTATTCAAACGAAAACTAGGAAATTTCACATCTTTCTTATTATTTTGTTAAAGTCCGAAACATCCGTAGAGATAATCTGTGCATCAGATGCAAAGTCAGGTGCTACTTCGATTGCATCATAAATTATCGAAAAATGCATTTTAATGAGGTCGTATTACTTAGCGTTCCGAAAGTAGACGAAATTTTATTTTCAGTGAGATAAAATAAACTTTCAGGTGTAGTCTTATTTTATTATTTCCTCATCTGTTATTCATGAAAATATAGTAAAAATATAATGAGGTTATTAAAATATAATATAGGTTGAGGTTGCCAGATACAAAAAGTTACAGAGATTTGACAAATAGACGGAGAGCTCGTCGCAAATCTGTGCAAGAGGTTTCTAAAGCTTGATATTTCAGTACGTAGAAGAACTAAGGGTATACATCATCCAGTACCCACTGCGGAGGACAGGTGCTTGAACACCTGGTGTTGAAGTATGTAGAATGGGGACATACTACAAGGAATTTCAAAATAACTAAAATTTTGTAAGACGAGTAACAGCTTTATAATTCATCATAATTTAAAATCAAACTCTACTCATAAACGCACCTTTTCACAGATATTGTTAGTCTCCATCCTGGCTGCCGCCTGCTTGGTGGCCACCACTCCCATAGACCCAACCAGGATACTTATTAACAATCCCACTGAAGGCCCCTTCAGCAGAGCCAGAAGGTCCTCACAGTATATCAAGAATCCAACGTACAACAACAAAAGTAAGGCAATAGAGTAACTAGGAGAAGCATCCACATTAAGATACGACATTTAAAGTGTTAATATAATTACAATTGTGATTTAAAAGGGGTTCAATCTGAGGCTTATAACCAACTAGTGGCCGCCAGCGACTTCGTCCGCGTTTTCCATTATTTGTGATGTTATATAGCCTAAAGTCTTCCTCGATAAATGGTCTATTCATCACAAAAAGAATTTTTCAATTCGAACCAGTAGTTCCTGAGATTAGCGCGTTCAAACAAACAAACAAACTTTTCAGCTTTATAATATTAGTATAGATTTAACTACCCGTGCTTGGTGCCATGCAGCACGGGCTAAATATACCAAGTGTCCGCAAAGTCTCATAAAATCATTCTTGTAACTGCATAAAAAAATACTGCATTTTCATTTACACTTTTAAGTTACTCCTGCAAAAAATTGAATAGCAATTTTACATATTTAGTCATCGATTTCGATCACCTATGTAGTGCAGTACCGATTAATTCATATTATGTTTATTGGACTGGAAATTGTGTAAATAAAGGTGAAAATTTTTAAGACCAATTTAATTACATTTTTCGTATACCTAGCAACAAACATTACCATTTTATTAAATTTATAACATTAGATAAAAATTGAGGTTCCCGTCTGATTGCCACACGAAGCAATTGTTTAGCTGCAACTCTCTCTCTCTCTCTCTTACTCACTTCACTTGTTATTTTTCCCACAGGACACTTCTCAACTGCAGAATTAAACTTAAGGAAAGGAGAATACATATGCGGCAATAGGATTTGTAAACTGAAACCCGGGAACCCGCCAGCTAACTGTGATGGCTGCCAGTACCCTATAGCGTTAACAAATAATATGGGAATATAGCAATAGTTGTGATAAACAATGTGTTATTTATTATTCGTTTAAGGTCGTAACACACGGGTTAAAATGCTATAGTATGATATCTTAAGATATAATATGACTAGCCATGCAATCCAAAGGCCCAACACACACGGCTAATATCTGTTCTGTGGCTAACATGATATAATATTTTCATAATATAATTTTTCTAGTATATTAAGATGCCAAGCGATTCAAAAATATAAATTTCGTAGTTAAGATGGTATCTTAATACGAAAAGATGATATCTTACCTATGATATGAAGATCCTTAGCCATCTGTTACGAGCTTTATTGTGATGTAAATCTACACAATAAAGCTCGTAATAGATGGCTAAGAATCGAAAGATTTTGAAAATCGATTTTATTTTTTAATGAGAAAAAAAAACTGACATCTATGTTTTACAATATACACATGAATAGGACCAGTGCATTTTCCTTTGCTCTTTAAAATGTGAATCAAAATAAATATCTAGAAATAAATGGTATTTAAATCTTAAGACATGCCACGTTTAACTATAAACAATTGAACACCAAAAACACTCAACGAGGCGCTCGCAACAATTCCAATAGTCAATGTGCCGCGCCACTTGAATATGACCATGAAATAAAATATAATATATATATTATTGAATTTTATTATTAACATTTTTTATTGATTAATAATCAATACTTTTTCCATACTTTGTTACTGCAGAAGTTTGATGTAACTTTTAGAGCTTTGTCTACCTGCTATTACCACTAAACTAATCGGCCCATTATATGTGTCGCCGCAGCCCAGTGCGCGGGCTGCGGCTGACAATGTCAACAATGCCTTAGGCGCTGGAAGTACAAGCCATGCGACAGTGTCCCGATGGTTTAACCGTTTTAAATCAGGAGACAGGAGCCTTGAAAGTCAGCCACGCTCAGGGCGACCACCCGCAGTGAATGATGACGATTTGCGCCGCGAACTGCAGTTGAATCCGGATGCTACCACTCGTGAATTAGCAGAAGCACTTAAATGCAGTCACCACGCCGTGGAACACCATCTGCATGAGCTTGGTTATCGAAAAGTTTTGGCTCGGTGGGTACCGCACATCCTTACAGACGCCAGTCGTGCAGTCCGTGTCGCTATCTGTCAGTCACTTTTGCTGCGACCCCGACGTAAATAGTTTTTGTCAGATCTGGTTACTGGAGATGAATCATGGATTTATTACGAGAACGATACACGTCGTGCTTTTTGGCTGCCTCGAGAAGAAACGCCACCAACTCAACCGAAGCCGAGTCAAAAGAACCGCCGAAAAATTCTGCTTTGCTGTTTCTGGGATGCGCAAGGCATACTGTTTTATGAGCTATTACACAATGAAACTATAAACGCTGACAAATATTCAACCCAGCTTACCAAATTATCTGCCGCTATCAAGAAAAAACGACGAAGACGAGTCAATGTAGTTTTACTGCACGATAACGCTCGACCTCACGTCGCATCTGTGGTTCGCCGGCAGTTGGAGAACTTGGGCTGGGAGACGATACCCCACCCACCTTATTCCCCAGACCTCGCCCCATCAGACTATCATTTGTTTAGAGCCCTGAAACAGCATTTGCGGGGTAAACAATTTAATGATTTCTCTGACGTAGAGGCGGAGTTGAACAACTTTTTCGAGGCACAGCCATCAGAGTTCTGGGCAAAAGGCATCCAAACTTTGCCGGATCGTTGGCAAGAAGTCTTAGATACTAATGGTAATTACATCATTGACTAAACTTTTTTTATTGTAATAATAATAAAAAAGTAAAAACTTAAACCAAGTGTCTCATTACTTTTGTGCCAACCCGATAGTATTAATGAATGATAATCCTTCGTAGATTAACGGTAACGGTCAAGATTTTAGAGGCATAATTAATTTTAAACAATATCTTTTCCCACTGTTTGTATGCTGAGATCTTAATCTTACTGCACATCGAAATTTTAAGCGTACCTACTACTAGAAAGCGACTTCTTTTAAATATAAAGAGTAATACGCCATCTTGAAGATTATTGTCTCAGAGTTTGTCAAGTATACATCAATAAAATCCTTAAAATTCTGAAACGGTAAATTCAACTACATATAGTATGCCTATTATTATTATATAATATCTTGCGACAACCGCATGACACCTTCCACAAATTTTAATGTTATGTAGTTACTGTAAGCAATTCATAGTAACGTATTTTTTGCTATAGCAGATCGCCCAACAAAAAGAATATCGTACGTTGACCTTTGTATCTACTGACAGATACCGTTGACATTTAGGTTAAACTTTACTATAACAAAATTGGCTAGATGCATCTGTGAGAGTGCGACAGATATATGTATGCGTACGAGTGAAAGAGACATGTAATACCGGATCATTGTACGAAGTTCTCTCTGTTCGGCGTCCGTGCTATACTTATGATAACCTACTGTAAGGTCTGGGAGCTTGATGACCGATTTTTATCCATATTATCATCATCACGAGTCTATTATTGTCCCCACTGCTGGGAATAGGAAGGATCGGCCGTGATACACCAGTCGGGTCCTGTGCGGATTGGTGGATATTAACAACTGCAGATGTAGGGATCAACGGCTTAACGTGTCTTCCGAAGCACGGAGGAGTTCGAGATAATACATTTTTGGTCACCCACCCTATAAACGGCCATTACGAAAGATGCTTAACTACCGTATCGCAGACCGAGAGCTATAACAACTGCGCCACCGAGCTCCTCTCTTATCTATACTTATACATACAATTTATTATTTTATAATAAAATAAATAAATCACGGAACCTGTAAAGGATCCGTGAACTCTGAAAATAAAATGATTTTTCAAAATCCACGAAATAAAACCGCTGTAAATAATTTCATTTAATGAATATGAAAACGCATTACTAATTTTTAAAAATAATTCCTCAAATAAAATAAAACTCACAAAATATATTATTATTGCTTTATTTTCAATCTAACCTGCTCCCATTTCTTCTGTGACAGTCTGAAGGTAGCTACGTCAAGTTTATCGGCTACCAGTCGTCCATAGTTGGTGCTATTGAGGAGACCACTCTTGTCCGCCAGCTCAGACATGATCTGCACTTTCTGATCATCACTAACAGCTGCGAATATATGCTCTATGGCTATCGAGCCGTATCGTGATATAGCCAGCTTCTGGTAGCAACCCTGAAAGTAATAATAAATAACAAATTCAATGTCACCAGTTAATTAGCCCTCATTCCCGTGAGTTAAAAAACGTTGTTGTCAAAGGTGGTGCTTCGGAGACCCAGGGCGGCAATAAGTCCGAGTTGTTCCATCTAGGGCGGAAACTTGATATTACGTTACATCCACCCCTCGCATACATTTATAACATTATTCTATTTGGCTCCCCCCCCACTTAAGCCACCACTGTCCAAAGTCACGATAAAAAACGTCGCGTTTTAAAACCGCTGCCATGTGAACATATAGGCACGCAAAACCATACGTCACGATACACACCTTCACCGTAACCGTAAGCAGACCTCTATTAATGAGGAAGTTCTAGTACGAAGCGCGGTGAGTAGAAAGTCCACAATGTATAGTCTGAAGTGCAGCCTCGTGTACTTCGGAATGCATTAGATTTATTAAAAACCTTTTTTAAGAGACGTTAAAAAAGCTTTCATGCGAATGAAGGGTAAATGTTTCTACGGCTGGGGCTCAGGTCTTCATTTTCATTATGAATGGAATAGATTGAGGAGAATGGGATACGACTAACGTGATCAGACTTCATATTTTGAATGTGACCGTCCCGTCTTTTGGTTGTCAGCTAACACCGGGACGGGACAAAGTGTCGCGTTTTCGAAATGATGAGAAAATTTTGGGTGCACTCAGTTGGTGACCTACTAAGTTAGGTAGTCTATGTGAAATTTATTAATTCATTCAACGATTCATGATTTTAAATCAATCTGCGTCGGTTTCCTAAAAAAAAGCCCCTTTACTATATATTTTAATAGATGATCTCTAGATGGCGCTGTTTTTACTTTATTTTGTACTTTTATTTTGTACTTTTTTTATTTTGTAGCAAACGAGGAAGTATTTAAAAAAAAACCATTAGTTCCCGAAATCAAACTAGATACCGCTACGGTACGTTCTTGATTTCTCCATGACAACCTTTCCGGTTTTCTTTCAAGTTTAAAAGTAAATTAGTTTTCAAAACTCAATAAACAACTCATATTCTATTTGTAATTTTTTGTATTTGTATTGATATCTAAGTTTCGAACTTTTCAAATTTCAGTTTTTTAATATGTTAGTTAAAAGGAACGGAAATGACTGTCTTTGGTCCATTCAACTTTTGCTAGAGTCGCCATCTAGTGGAGGTGCTTTTTTTGTGCTTTCGTTTTTTTGACGTGGATACGTCTATGTTTTCGTTCTACAGGGGGGTCATTCTGTGAGCAGGAGTATATGCACTAACGCCATCTATTGGCGAATAAGTGAACTATGCTTGCTCTGCAGGGGGAGGGGCATTCTGTCAGCAGGAGTATATGCACTAACGCCATCTGTTGGCGCTAATGAATACTTTTTTCATTCAACAAATGAACGCAACGAATATTTATTTATTTAGTGTTTAGTGTCTTCAATTTGTTTTTTTTTTTGAATTATTCATTTATAAATGCAATTATGCCACAACGTTGCATAATTCCGGGTTGTTTTGGAGAAGCGAAGCGTTCAGTTTTTAGAGTGCCAAAGAACATTGATAGACGTAAAGAGTGGTTAAAAGCTATTCGTGATGTGTTTCCTAACCTGAATGTTGGTGAATTTTTTTTTATCAATTACTCATATATCCATTCATACATAGATGTATCCACGCATAAAATATGGCTGTATCAATGATACAGCCAACCAGGGTTTTTTTTTAATACTTCCTCATTGCGTAACGTTTGGTATGTAGAAAGGCGTTATTCTTATCTAAGCAACATCTTTAAAATTTAAGAATTTATATTTACTGTACGTCGTACAGATACCGTTTTCGTGGGCATAAAATATTCTTAAATTTCGATTTACATAATTTTAAGGCAAAAAAAGATTTCATTTTACCATTATTTTGAGGCTTTAAAATGAAACTAACATTTATTTTTTCAGAGTAGAATGCCCCATTATTATTATAATAAACCAAACCTTTAACATGGTTACCGAACAGCGAGAATATTGTACAATGACCGGGTCATAATACTTTATATATCGCTTTCATTTGTACGCAAAAATATTGCTATTGCGCTCTCACAGATACATCTAGCCAACTTTGTCACAGTAAATTCAACCTAATATGTTTACGATATCCATTAGTAGGCACAAAGGTCAACGTACTGAATTCTTTGGGTTCAGCGAACGCGCTATAGTAATGCATACAGTTGTATTTATACAAAAAACATGCAAGTAAATTCATACTCATTTAATATAACGAACATTGGTGGCTCACCTTTAGTTTCCATACGAATTTGTCCCTAGCTTTAGCTCCAACGCATGTTGACTTGCAGAATGCTTCAGCCACATGACATCCTTTAGAATCCTGCAGGATAATCATCAACTCCTCGCTGCTCAGCTCCAGTAGGCTATTCACGGCTTTTGCTGGACGCTGCCAAAGAAAATATCATGAATAGGCACACACAATTAAGAGGCTGAGGACACTGAATGATTTTTAGAAATCGACACGCCCCCTTACATAATTACAGGTGTCTACGCTAGTGTGGGTTAGCTCATTGCACGTTCCTCAGAAGAATAACAAATGCCTATCGGTTCAGCGCCAGCAGATAAACTTTGTACTAATAACAATGACGTTTTATAACCATCAAGTGCTTTGAGTTAGCTGTCTAAAGTGCTTACACAATAGGTGGCGCTGAATTTTTTTAAAAGAAAGGAATAATTTCTTTTTACTCCAGATTTTTATGGGGCTTAGAAAGGACAAGTATGTTTTTTCTTTTTGGGTCGACAAAATAACATGCTATTATTTTGTCTGTTTCATATTTCAGAATTTTATTCTAATTCATTGATATTTTAAAAAATGCTTTGCATTGAATAATAGAAAAGATTTAAAATTTAAAGAAATATGAAATAACTATATAAAATCACTTATGATACCACACATCACATCACATTTCTTCACTCGATTTTAAACCTTAATGTAGTGACGGTAGAGTTAAAATAATTGCGATAATTTGATAGACTGTAGTAACCTGACTTGCTGCTGTGTGTACCTGATAATGTCGGCCAATCAGAATAAACCAAATATCACGTCATGGCACCTAATCCCCGCCAAGTTTGACTGAGACGGACTTTCATACCTTATTCTCATTACAAGAAGAGTCATTATACGTTTTAATTGTACGAATTTTTGGTAGGTCGGCTTTACGTAAACGAATATTCACCATATGCAATATTAATTGGAAGTCATTGTAGTAAGTACACATATCCATATCGAACTTTCCGGAGGAGGAGAAAAAAAGCAATTTTAGAATCGTTTTTATGAGAATATAGGGTAGACGCGCCTGTTTCTACCATTGTCTTGCTGTCGAACATTTCATGGCCCTTTTAAAAATAATTAATGCTTTAAGAATTGGACTCTACCTGATCTTTGGACTGGAGTTAATAAAACATATCCTGTTTTCATAACTTGAAGAAAAGTTATTTTTTCCTCTAGCCATGATCCTTTTATGGAGGTGGAATGATATTTTGTAATACTGACGCATCATCAAAGTATAGGACTGGTTGACCGGTTAGGATAAAACCATTAAAGCACAATCATTTTATTAATCCCATAAATATAGATGATTTCAAAGTTGCCGTCAGACATTTTTTATTTGATACTGGAAAGCGAACTGATTCAAAAACAATATCTTAAAAGTCTATCCATATTTTAAATAGTACATTAAGGATAAAGAGCTTGTAGGGAAGGCAAAGTCATCCAAAAACACTCTTTTTATGAACTCCGAAACAATATAGTTTTTACAGATAAACTTATCATTGGCTTAGATTGTTTTTGTCATGGAAAATGTTTTTTATTTTAAAAGAAAATTGTTTTCGATTTATAAAAAATATATTCTTGCATAACATTGTAGCTGTAATTAAAAATATAGAGAAAAACTGTTTTGTCCATCGAATCCCTATTAAGTAAGAATCCCTATATACTAACATACAGTTAATAAATACATCGAAGTGCCTAAGGATTAAATATGTAATTATGTAATTATGTATGTATGTATATACATACATACATAATTACTATAAAAATACATAAATCATAAAGTAATTAATGATTAAATGAATTAGCATGTCCAAACAATGAAACGTTTGCTACAGAATAAACTTGTTATCAGAAGCTAATTTATTATTTATTGAAAATTCTTGTAGACACAAGTAGAATGGAAATTCATCCCACAAAGGAATAGATTTGACGAAGAACGAAGAGTGAACGATTTCGGAGAAATGAGATGGGCAGAGTAGACGATTAGAGGAGGAACAAAGAGTTTTGGTGTGAAAGGTACATAAGTACAGTTAAGATAAGAAAGAGTGTTTGGAGATTTCAGCAGAGAGGATAACGTAGTAAAAGCACGCATACTTCTTCGGTTCCGGATGGACGTCCATTTTGAATTTTAACGATATAGGGACACATGATCAAATTTTCTAAGAATAAAAACGGATAGAATCTTCGGTCTCTAGAATCCAGTTAAGCCAGTGAAAAACTGACCATCCTCATACATTGCCCAAAATCTTTAGATCTACCAGAAAATGAGATAGAAACAATTTCTGAAGTACGCAAAGATATAAAAACAGCGCAGTAAACCACGGAATTCTGATCGACTTTGATATGCTGTTGAGAGAATAAAAGTTGCTGGTGTGGAACTGAAAATTACCTGTTTTTCTAATGCCCAACTTTGCCTTGTTGTTTTAAGGGTTAGCAACGTCTCTGGGCTCTATATTTTGGCACCCGAATATAAAAAAACCACCAATAAAGTTTATAAATTTTATCTTAAATATTATTGTTAATCATATATACCGTTGGCACCGTCAGCAGACTGTAGAATTTTGGTACAAAAATAATTCTACCTTTACAGGTTCATTAAGTTATAACCTACTCAATCCACAATATACAATTTAAGCTTACAAAATCTTTGGTATGAGACAACACGAACGAAGATGCGGGCACCAGCTAGTGGCAAATAATATAACGGTGTAATGAATCTTTACAAGTATTTTGGCCAAACATAACCTCAGTTAAAAGTTATACGACCAAATGAAACAATAACAAAAATTTACTATAACCCAACCTTTCATCTTATTTGAGGTTGTTCTAGATATTTATTGAGCAACACATTGTTTGAATAGTTGCCTCTATAGAATAAAATTTATGAATTTCGTTGGGATCGCCAGTTTAAAGCTGCTTTCTTTATGCAGATGATACCTACCATAGTGCTTACATAGAATCCATTCAATCTGCAAATGAAGCGATAGTCATGGAGCAAGATTATGAGTGATGAAAGGCTTAAAATTCAACGTGAATAACACATAAGATATTAAACCAATGTACTACTTTGATAATAGAACTATTCACACCGTCATTAACTGGTCGTCCTCTTTTAATTTTAAATAAGAGTGAAGTTATACTTCACGGAATTGTCACTGTAAACAAATTTATTTCGTGATTATCCTTTACCAAAGGAGGCAATTTGTCTATATAAATTAAAAAAGAAGCATCGAGCACTGTGAAACACCCATGATAGGTGTTGATCTATCGATTCAGGGGATTTCTTGTCGCCGATATGAACCTCCTACAAAGCCACTGAACTAAGAGACAGCAAAATCTAACTAGTAATCTCTAAATTCATAATATGAAGATTCGTTATATATTTCATGAACACCATAATTGACAGCTTTAAGTACGTCACAGAAAACACCTAAAACGTTGTGTGAATTCTCCCAGGTATCAACAATTTGTTCTAAGATTCCGATATTCATACCGATACTGAACTTATGCATCCATGTGAGGTGAATCGTGGCTGGTTTTATCATTTACACTTACCTGCCCTTACGGCCAGTTACACTAACCTGCCCTTTTCAGAATGGGATTGCCCAGACCCAGAGTCCTGATTAGATATTCTAGAGAATCACCCGTTTCTTTGAATGTCGAGCTTGTCCTCAACTCTGTGCTTAGAGTTGAACTGAATTGTAAAATTTACCGTAAAACTTTTATCACACTTACGTCACAATAATCAATGCTGATTACCGAATTATTCACATCTAATTTTTTTATGCCAACCTCAGCCAGGAATAAAATTTAGTAACATTTTGGAGCGATTTTCAATTATTACGGTAACCATACGCCACAGGTTTGCGTCCGTGATGCGGAAAGTAGATTTAAAACAAAATATAGTTTTCTAATTATAAAACCTTCTGTTGATAACAATTAATGGCTAAAACGACTTCACAAATTTTATTTCAATAAATTTACCAGTATCTTAAGAAAGTCAAAGAACGACGTCTTACGAAATAGCGGTGCGATCGTATCAGTCACGTTCGAAAACTTGTCACGGCTTTTATAATAGGGTGTTATACTCTGATTGCAAAAGTTCTTACTTGGTACTTGTAAGTGTTTATAATCGACAACAAAAATATTCTAAAAAATTAAAAACGTGTTCTTTTCTTAAAATTAAATCATAATTCCACTTTTTTACACCCATAAAAACACCGTCTGCCATATTCATGACGATATTCTGTTATGTACAGATTGAAATATCAATAATAATAATTAAATAACAGTAATGTACAAACAGATTAAATTATTTTTAACAATCAACCAATTTAACAAATGTAATGTAGGGAACTATGTGTTTATTAATGTTTCAATTTTATGTTCATATAAATAAATTTGCATAACTGTTTGATCCTATATATAAAAAAACTAAATATGATGTTATTCAAACGAAAACGGTGTTATCTAACGATCACGACAAAATAATAATATTAAATAAGGTAAGAACAGTATTATCTCGGAATCTGCTTTTTCTGTCAAATCGGCTGCTGTTTATTTATTTTTTTACAACTACTGACAGATGTCAGATTCAGAAAATATTCAAACGAAGTGTCGTCACGTAATGGTGGGTTATGTTTTTAAGTCACATGATGAATAAACAAAAAGACTGGACCTTTAATTTTGATATGTTAAGATAATTATGCAATTTTATTACTCAAAATCAGCCTAGAATGATGATTTTTTATTTTTAATTTTTTATATTTGTATTTTTGTTTTCTTTTTTCTTCTCTTATATATTATCATTGTGTTCATGTAGGTGTGGTCAATAAATTTTCTTTTTTTCTTTCTTTCTTTATTTCAAAGCAAATTTCAATGATTCTGCAAATTCGTGCTTTACGTTTCACTATCGAAACTACCCAATCCACTATCAAAATTACCAAGTATGCTTAAAATTGTATTATTTTGGTTGCAATACAACTATAGTCTATTGAGTATCGTTTAAAATTGTGTACTAGTCCGGAACACTGTACATTTACCTTACAGAAAAATCTTCGTTTTTCATTATTAATAATTGTAAGGCTACGCCTGTTGCGTACTGCAATAGTTTGCAAACCAATAAAGGATATGTAGAGGTATTTTTGTATCAAATTACCGCGAAATTTATCCAGTCGTTTTTCCATGAAAATGTCAAAAATAATATCTATACAATTATTAAATATAATAATTTATATTTTAGTATAAACACATAAATAATTTTTAATATTATATTTCTCATAATAAAAATATTGGGTAAAAAAAAAATAACATGAAACTTGGTTTTGATCTGCGGCACAATGAGTACCTAGTGACCAGCACATAGGACATGGCGCCACACCAAACTTTAGTAAAGTTTGTGAAAAACCTGCACATTATTATTTAGTACATTGTTTCCATAATTTTCAAATTCCCTTTTTTATAAAGTAATACCTATTTATTGAACTATTTTATTTACACAATATGATTGATTAGGAATTATTTTTTACTAGAGTAACGGTCTACGGGATGGTTTTTGCATGAAAATGTCAAACTTTTGCAAACACATACTTTTATGGAAATATTTACCTATTGTCAAATTTTATGTTATATATTTTTACAGCAATTAAATTTATCAACTAGACTAGATAATTAAATAATACTTAATTACTGTATAAAATAATATTCAAAATTATTTTAACGAATTATTAATGATTAACATATACCTATAAAAAATGAGAGAGGAAAATATATCGGGGAAAAGAAGATAAAAGTAAAACAAAAATGCTTCTTTGATGGGATTGGAACACGAACATGTATTTTATTGGAACTATTTCATCAATATCGGGGCTTTTGTATGAAAATGTCAGTCTGACTTTTGCCTACGTCATACTAACGAAACATTTATTTTCACATTTTATACTGTTTAATAATAATAATAAAAAAAAGTTGCTTTTAAAAATTATGGCAGAAAAAAAATTAAAATTAGAATAAAATAATAAAAAAACGACTTGAAAAAATGCGAGCTCTAGTGGGATTAGAACTTACAACTTCGAGACACTCGGGTCCCTACCCTAGTACATTACACCAAAGATATTGTTAAAACGAGAGCGAAATTAAAATACTTATTTTAAATGATCTTTTTTTTACAATTTTAGCGATCTCGGTACGTCAGAACGCTGCACAAAGCAACATAGGTCCATCTAGCAACACGCCTCAGCGTGAACTAAGTTAGTGTGCGTTATTCTATAGCCTTCCCTGTTAATTGCAGTAGGAGTGACAGAAATGTCAATACTTTAAAGTTGCTTGAAAAAAATGACCATATGTGCCATATCACAAAATAAATTATATTAATTATTATAATAACATTATCAAAAATTGGGAATAACCAACTTTTATATCAACCTTTGATACATATTTGTACTCAATATCATTACTCTAATGTATCACATAATTGAGAAACGTGCCTTTCGCAATATTTTTAGATGCTACTTTGGAATTATTTTCTATCGAGTGAAGTTAATACAATCATGTTTCGGTTTCAACCACAAGATCAGAAATACGATCAAGTATAACCACAAATTTTTGGATTACCATAGGTTTCCCGTGAATTAGTACAATCCTAGATCAATTTTATCGATTTGACACTATTCAGCCTCTTAATGTATCTTTTTTTTACATACTTCGAAGCGAAACGAAATTATTCTAGCGAGCGCAACTTCTTAATCTGCCTAGCGACTGGAGTATTTGGTTTCCATCCTTCAAGAATACACAAGTATTCTTAATGGATGGAAACCAACTAAACTAATCCGCATTGGGACCTACCTGCGGCGCAAGATAGGAATGCTTGATGACACTACCACATGGATGGGACACGCACGCGAATCCGCGAACACATACACATTACATAATACTGCGTATGCATAAATAGGGAAGTATGTAACTTGTATACAAATTATTGTACCCTTGTGTTCTTGAATGTTCATGTATGACCCATGAATACCCATGGACTACATATTTATGTTTTCAACATTGTGTACATGTTTATATGCATTTAGAAAAATAGAATTGTATGGGTCTTTATGAGTACATATATAATGTCAAAATGTATCTATATCTATTTTATTATTGTTTCTTAACGTGTAAAGACCACAAACTTGACATTGGCGGAATTGTGTAAATGCATAATAGGCCATGTAATAAAAAAGAAGAAGACCTTGACTGTACGAAATTATTTCTGTTAGGCGACAGTGCTATATAGTGCGGATATCGGCAATGTCTTTACAGTAACGAATAACACTACGAATAGTACATTAACGTAAAACATAAAGGGCTATATTTCAAAGGTGGTGATTAAAAATAGTAATTTATTACCTGAAAATATAATATCGACTGCAGTATGAGTGATCCGTACATGGAGACGAAGTACTCTTTGCTGAGGTTATTGACCTGCAACTGATCAGCCTGCGACAATCTCAGACACAGAACTGAGAAATACTTTTGATTCTCAGACGTACACTTTAAAGCACCTTCTAAGCTCTGTAACAAATAATAATACGGTTAAGGTTAATTATCCGGTGCGGTAAAATATTCGGTATTCAGTTATTCAGTGAAACCACTATTCGGCGGACCTCAAATTTTTAGTTTCTACTTTTATTATTATTCCATTTCACGGAAATAAACAAATAAACTTACTATAATAAACTGGTTCTGTCGGGCTCGTAATCTGACGCACGTCCTGGCGAGGGCCGCTAGAACGCTGCATTTATCAGTTGACAATAACAACTCGAAACTGCCACTCAACTCGTCGAAAATCGGTTCGAACTGGCAACACATAATAAAACGGGACGCCAATAAGTTTCAGTATCTCCCAACCAACAATAGTTTTACAAATTATTAGCTGTTTTCCCGCGACTGATGTAGCTTCCCGTAGGTGAAAGAATTTTCATGATCGGATCAGTATTTCCGAAGATTACCCCCAACAAACAAACAAAGTTAGAAATGTTACTTCTATATTATATAATATAGTATGGATAAGAATTTTAAAAATCGTTTTTTAACAAACCTCTACGTATTTGTTACTTTAACCCGGATTTACATTACCCATACCATTAGGGCTTGTTGTCACGTCACCGCAAATTTTATTTTAGAGAATTCAACCTTGTACATACAAAGAACGATATTTAGTTTCAGAGGCTGTGACGTCATAGTGACGCCATGATAAAAGTGGCGCTTTGCAGGAAATTTTGAAAATTATATTTATTATTAGATTTGAATTTATTATATGAAAGATACTTTTTAAAATATTTTTTAGATATATTTCATGTATATCTATAAAATAAAAATATAAAAAAAGTTGTCTACAGCCTTATTTGGGAAAGTGACTTTGGAAATAATCATGGGATATATGTATTTAATAGAATTACCATTTCCTTGACTTGACATCCATCAATGAGTTTCTGCACAACAATAGCGGTTTTGCGTTCAGAGACCAGCTGGCAGAGTCGGTTAACAAAACACTTTTCATATATCCGTGTGTACATTTTATTGTTAGCTAGAAACAATGCTGCTTCTAATAATCTGAAAATATATTTTTAATGTTTACATAATGAGAAATGTTGAATACATATTTTTAAAATAATTATGTAATATGACAGCTGAAAATCTTATGAATAGCAAAACAGTAAAAAATCAAATAGTAGAGTCTAACATTGTCCTCCTCTAATCTTCAGAATTGTGTCGTGTTGATTAGTTGTATTACAGATTAGAATAAAATGGTGATATTTCTATTAGGACACAACATACATGTGTTTCTAAACATTTAACCTATGTTTCTGTCTGTTTAAAGTACAACAGGATACAAATATCTGTTTCTACTTAAGGATAGACTAAATTTACTAACCTAATAGCTGCTTCACTATCAAACACTGGTGGCAACTTGCTTTCAGCTGTCACAGGAGTCTCTCTCGACTCACCATCATCCGGTGCAAAACTTTCATCCAGTAATTTCTTTATTATTTTTTTTGTGATAGAACTATCTACATTTTTGATTGCATACAACAAAACTTGTATTAATGCCGATGTCAAAACTTGATAAGGCAAATCTTTGAATTGTGGCCAAGCCATTAATCTGGTTGCAAACTCCTTCACCAATTCTTTAAATTCATCAGGGACCACTTTGTATTCTAAACTTGTGACCGTTGTACCAAGTGGTGTTATAGCTTTATTATGCTTAATCTTTGTCTTTTCGAACATATTTACTTCAGGTTTTTCATCAGGAAGTAGTGTTATGCCACTTAAACTCTTGATAGCACTGCGCAAGATGTGGTTGGCATAGTTATCCCAAACAAAGTCTTCTAAATTGTTAAGTGCATATTTACACATTTTTATTGTGAAGTTATAACATTTCTTTATATGTTCTTCACTATAATCAGGTTTCACATCATTTTTCTTTTTCTTCTTTTTAGGCTCTGTTTCCTCAGAATCTTCATTTTGTAAGTTTTCTGTAGCTCTACAACATGATACTCTTAATAATTTTTCTACAACATGACTAGAGAAGCTATCAGAACAGAGTCTACGTAACTCTGGTGAAAGTATGTCTATGAATCTCTCCAAATCTTCAGCAGATGCAAACGGTAGCAATATTTCAACGAGTCTAGACCCGAGCTGGTTCCCGACAACATTTAGCTCTTCACCTATTGTCCTTTTTAATACATTGTTGACTAGGGTACCTGTAATTAAAATAAAACCAGCACTGAATTAATAAAACACCAAGAATACATGATAATTTCACCTGTATTGTATGGTGATATATTATTATACCTTTTTCATCGACGTCATGTTTGATAGCATCAAGTATTCCAGCAAAATATTGATACAAATCCTCAGGCAAACGTGTACCGCCACCCATTTGCCCTCTTTTCGCTTTAGCCACGAAACTTATACGTTTCTTTTTATTTCTTTTCTTATACACATTTGTATTATTTTTCTCTTCGTTCATATTTATTATAAATAAATTCAGCAGAGAGAGTTTAATAACCAAAAATGTGTAGTAAAATGTAAACAAACTTTCGAAATAAGCAAAATTTGCAAAGTAAAGTAAAAATAATTCAATATAACATAATTCTTCACAATATAAATCTTTTATAGACAAGATCAATTTAAATATTATAAGTTAAGGTATTAGATTTCTTTAAAAGTAAATCGAAAATTTCTTTAAAACACTGCACAACAACCTTTTCTTTAGTTCCACTTTTAGAAATTTGGAGGTTAGAAGTTGATGTTGTTTGTTTGAATATGGAATTTTATGTCATACAGCCACGTGTACACCATATTAAATATATTTATACTTTAAATAAGAACACAACCAATAATATTTGCATCATAACATACATTTTCTTGTGAACATAGTAATTATAGTAAGTATGTTATTATTATTATTTTAGATTTCATAATATTCTTTTCCAGAAAATACCCATAACTTAGTAAATTGCCTGAAATTTTTATGACTGCAATAGATTTTAGTAAAACAGCAGTACCTTATTAGAAAATATAGGCGTTCATTCAACAAATGTGTGGGAATTTGATTATTTTAGCTAGAATACAATTGAGACTCAAAATCTCAAATTATATTTATTAACAGGCATTTTAATATGTATAAGTATATACTATATAAATAATAATGCTTTCCAATAAGATGTCAAAGTACCATTTGTGCTCATCTAATAGTAGAGTTAAAAAAGTAAACAAAAAAATCAAATGACGTAAACTGTTAATAGTACGAAAACTATTGTTATTAGCTACTAACAATTATTATTTAATTTTAATTATTGTCTATTGGTTAAAAATATCTACTTAAGTTATGCCAATTTCACAAGTAGTTACATCTCTCGACTATAACGAGTGTAAGACTAATTCAAATTTCTATTTTTTATCCAATTCGCTTTAGTCAATGATATTGTTAGCCCTCTGAAAGTATATATGGATTTAACCATATCTAATGATGACCTTCGTGGTCGAGAGTTTAGTTTTGTACACCAGTTTTATGGTGCCGCTCTGAGGTCCTGGGTTCAATTTCCAGTCAGGCTAATTGAAATGAACTTTTCTTTATTGCCTCAGGTCTGGGTATTATGGTACAGTTGCCATAGCAAACTTTCCTTAATAGAAGATGATAGCTAATATTATTTACGAGTATATCACTATTAATAACAGATTATTATTAGACTCCACAATATGTGATTAATAGACTAAAAAAATATGGAGACTTTTCACTGAAACCAAATTTAGTTTCTGCAGGGTTAACAACTGCAAATTTAACAATAATCAACGTAATACGTTTTAAAAGTATCATCAAAGCGACATCAGACACTAGATAATATTCAGTCACCCATCCAATCACTGACCTTTGTGAGAGTTGCGCTAATCACAGAGCCGTCGAACACTTGTGTGTTATTTACATATGCAATAAAGTGTTATTTACATATGCGTTTGTTTCGTTCACATTGTTTCGCCTGACACTGCGGGAATGCTAATCAGTCTTCTGTGATCCATCAATGAACATTATGTATGTCGTATGCCCTCCACAGACCGTGGTCAGAACGGGACACGGGACTCTAACTCTATCTCGTTCTTGCACCACTTAGTAGGTTGTCCTCGCATCAGTAATTTATTTTAGGGCCTACTTCTTAGCAATAAATGTCTATGGAGTATGTCAAATATTCCATTCTTGTTAAGAAATTTATTTACAGATTTTAATTGATTTTTTTGTTTGAAAGTGTTATACTTCTGAGGTCCTTAACAAAACATTTAGCCAAATTAAGAATCTCCTCATTTGGAACCGTATAAAACATGCTTTCAAATTAAAAAAAAAATATGTGTACATACTTTTTGTATTGATTAACTTTTTATATTTTTATTTGTATTGTATATTGAAAGTTTTGAGTTCATCTTTGTTTTAGCATAGCGTTGTATGTATGTGATATAAATATATTTTAAAGTATATCTTCACTAAAGGTGTCTTTTCTATAGTCCACAGTGTTTAAAATCCACAATTATTGATATACAATTAGTTGATTGAGAACTTATTTTGTGAATTAAATGGGTATCGTGAAGACACCCTAGCGGGGAATGCATCCATGAGCAACCAACCAACTAAACTTGTTTGAGTAGTTTGGTTAGCGCCGGCTTTCGGGAGAGCGTGTTTCATCGAAAGTTTTACCGTAACTATTATCGTGTTTATTCACTATAAAAGTTAATTTATACAAAGAGAATCTTTTTCTTTAAACAAACTGCCTCCAACCAAATATAAAAATGAAGAAAAAAAACATTTATCATTGTTTAAATATTTAAAAATACGAACGCGAATTCCAAGAAGTTCGATTCTTTTACTTTTCTTTTAATCCCGTGTTTTGCCGCTCTTTTTACAACGAAGATTCATAGTAGTGTCGTCAAGCAATCCAAACTGAATTCAAGGTAAGCAAAGTATAAAAAATCTGTGGTATAAAAGTAATAATAATTGACGCTAAGATGTTGTGTGACTGGGTCGGGAAATGCTCAGGAAGGCGTTGACCGTATGGTATAAGTTCAACGCGAAACAATGTTTTCAATAAGCTTATTGAAAACATTGTTTATAATAAAACTCAACTTTTATATTAAAAAAAAGTCTAAGGAGCGAACTCAAATAATTTAAAAATGAACCTAATAGGTGTTTCTCTACCAAGCTTTGTGTGGCTTCGCGATTAAATACCACCCTATATTTTAAGTAGGATGTAATTTGACCGTGGCTATCCTCTCAGAGGAATTCAATGCACTTTGTAGAACCTTTCATATCATATTTTTAAATTCTATTAAAAAAAATGTTACGATACTAGAAATAAATTGAATATGATTTATCTAGGCTACACTTGATTTCATTACTTGAGTAGGTAATACAAGATGCATGCTCATTTAATATTAACTCACTGTCGATGACCTTTTTTATTAACAGTACGAACAGTTAAGCCGATTTATTAACATTGATCACAAAAATAAAACAAAAAAATAAGCATGACGTCATGTAAAGCGCGGGAATGTTGCCGAATGACCAGGCAGCGGCCTGGATCATAGACCACAGACAGGCGGGAGTTTTTAATCTGCGGTTAATCATTTGAGCTTGGCGCTCTGTTATCATGTCATTGAGGTCACCAATTTACTTTGGTACCAACAGCTAATTCAAATGGATTTCTTCCGTTTTAGTAGTACTTTTTAGCGAGTAGACCATTTTTTTTCATCTTAGTCGTAAGTGTCGTTTTTCATCTTCATCTAATCACCTAATATAGTAAATTTAATTAAGATGCAAAAATAAAAAATATACTTATTCAAGATTCGCACAAAACGAATGGATATATTGAAATTTTGATACAAATGATTTCTTCTTCTAGTTTGGTACTCATTAATTAATTGGCACATCCTTAGTTTCCATAAAAATGTGTATTTCAAAAAAAAAAAACATAAACAAATCTTTACATGATGTTACATTCAGAAAGTTTGAGAAGCGCTGTTTTTGCACTTCATTGTAAAGTAGTTCCCGTGTTTTCACAACGCGTTCTACAATCTATTTTCATCTTTATACACATCTTCAATTTATGAACTTTGTTTATTACCTACTACTAGTTCAATAGAATTTTACGTTATAACGTGTATCTATTGTCTGCAAGTTATTTTTAAATTATTTCAAAACAAAACGGAGATAATGTAAGGGAGAAATCTTTCAATTTGTTTGTATGTAAAAATATATATATGTCGGAGCGGCTCTAGGACAAAATCATAGGGGTTTGTTTTGTTTCCCTAACTATTTTAATAATTCTTTGTGGGTAAATGGAAACACTAGCGAATGCTATTAACTTTATAAGTTATTATTGAACACTTATTCAATACTGAAATATTCTAATTTACATTTTTAGAGTTATAAAATGATAATTAATAAATTCTAATAAGGGAACAAATAACGAATTCTTGAGTCACGCTCAGTGCACACTACATATTTCAAACGAATACGAAGCTACAGATAGATGTGCAAAAAATACCCTTAGTTCTTTATAAAAAAAAAAAATGTTAATGTGCTGACCCAGGACCACGTTGAGTGGGACTTAATACAACATCACCCTTGTTCCAGAATGTCAATCATTTAATTGGGTGCTTAAACTTATTAATCATGACATCCCTTCAACATTCCATAGCATTATAAAAATATTATATTATCAAAAATACAGAAGGAATTTTGAACTACTATTAGAATTACAGCCATACTTCGAAATATATATTTTATATGTATGTCTGGCTTACTATTATTCGGTAGCGTACCGATAGTATCTAAAAAGTCCCATAATTATAACAAAACTACCGCGACTTCGCCCGCGTAAATAATAGACCCCCTTCAAGATTTCCTCTTTATAATATTAGTCTTCGCAGCCCGTTGATTACGCTTTGAATTGGTGAAAGAATATTTTAAATAGATTCAGAAGGTAGTGTTTGAGTCCATCTAAGTTCAAATATAATTCTAAGAGTATTTAGTTTTTTTTTATTATAAGAATCAAGTTGATTGTGGATATCCCCAAAATGGAAATTACTCCCCCGACCTAACTGTCATTAGATGAAATAGTATGTGGCAGTGTTGGATTAAAAAGACTAGCCGCAGAGCCAGTGTTGGATTCAAAAGAATATCCGAAGAAATGACAAGAGACTTAGCAAAAGCTGTTTTGTCCCTGTTTAAATTATCCAATGGAAAGAATGACTTCAGTATGCTATGAAGACACTTTCTATCTAGAGATTACCATGATATTCGAAGATAATGAGAAAAGTTTATCTTATTCTATGGGTGAGCGATGAAGCGTGACTTTACGAACGGTAGTTTCTCTGCTGCTTTAAGGCTGCGATTAAAGACAAAAAAGAAAACGAGACGGAATCAACACGTCCGTCAATATGTCAAATAAGGACAGAGGATGTCGTATTGCGAGAAATAGTAAGAAAAAAAAAAAAAATTTAATGAAATATTGGTACGCCATTACGATTATTGTAAAAAGTAAAAAATATATATATAAAAAGGCAAATTAGAAGTTATCTTCTATAGGAAAAAATTATGTGTGTTTTGTATAATAGAGGTAGCTTGGCAATATTATGATTATGTAGTATTATCATATTAATAAAAACTCATTTGGATATTTTTTTTGTATATGAAACCAGTTTAAAGTTTGTAGTTTTTAGTCTAGCCGCCGTCTTAAAGGAGACTTTAGATGCAGTCGGGTTGATGAACTATACGGTCACGGTATTAGAGGGACGGTTGGTTAATTATTAATGTAATTTTTAATTATTTTAGGCAATTTGATGATTTATATCAAATTTTCCTATAGAATACTACATTAATCAACACACATACACCGACTCTTCATCAGGTGGACGATTCTGTAAAAAAAACAGCGTCGAACTCGACGTCGAGGACAGCACTGCCTCCATAGCATTTACGTTCGATTAAATTTCCTACTTCAAAAGGTAATAAATGCTTTATTTCATTGAACCTCTAGCTATGCTATGGCAGTGCTTCTTCGTCGAGCTTATGGCTGATTTTAGTACAGAACTAGCCGTTTTTCCACGACTTCGCCCGTGTAAATTAAAGCCTATGTGACCCGCGTATGATGTAGCTCCACGTAGATGTTACCTACATGACTTTACCTCTTTATAATACGGAAGATTTGACTCGCCTTCTACGGAACATCAGGACAAATATATGATAATAATAGAAATAAAGAATATGATCTAGTACTACTTATAGTAATTTATGATATTCAATCTAGCACCACAGTGCTTGTACCCTCTTTAGTCAAACAAGACACGAGTCAGGCTCTCTTGTGTTAAAATGAAATATACTAGTCGTAAATTCGATCCAAAAAACCTTTTAAGAGTCATCTTTGTGATTTTTTTCTATAATCCAAATATTATTATTACTTAATTTTCATAAAATGTTTTTTTTTTGACAAATATTAGGGCAGCCATAGAATGAAATTGGTTTAAAAAGTGGTAATTACGTACAATCTCGCCTTAAGACACGCAGGCTGTATCGATCCGGCCTGAGATCAAAAGTGTCAATAAGTGAATCATGGAAACAAAAACTTGTTTTTTTTTTGAGATTTTAATGTACACTCGAAGCCTCTATGGAAATTAGAAAATTTGGGTGCAATTTGAAGAGTAGCGCGAGCCTAGACGAGTAAGAGAGTTAATCATTTATGCTTTCCTTTGCTATTTATTACATCAAGAATTAATTAATCATATAAGTTTTCCCTAGCGCCTTCGCCCGCGTGTTCCTCTATTATACATAAAAACCTTGTAATAATCCTATCCTCTGATTAATACAAAATGGGAAGATACGGCATACTAATAGTTGTATTGACCAAAAAAGGGCACTCATAAAATTACACAAGTAAACTCACACACACACTTATATTATAGACGGTATTCCCAAGCAAGTAAGAATCAGCTATAAGTTTCAACTATAGCATGAGCGAGACAGGAACTCAGTTTATCGGTAGCATGTCAATTGGTCGAGTGAGACAGCAATTAATTTCAACACTAGCATGAGCGAGACAGGTAATTATGATCGTTACTCTACAAAAACTTGACCTTACTCTAAAAAACGCGAAATTATGTGCATACACCTAATTTTGGTTTCCATTAAAATACGCTTGTGCCGTATCTTCCCTTTTTCTTATAATCAAAGATCCTATCCGATCCTATAATAAGAAAAACCGCATCAAATTCCGTTGCATAGTTTTAAAGATCTAAGCATTCATAGGGGCAGACAGACGTAGAGCGACTTTGTTGAATACTATGTATTCGTGAATTTAATATTTAAATCTTATAATTTAAATTTTATTAATAACAAATTACTACACATTATGTAATTTTATAACAATGAATTATATCCTTAAATAAACTATTAATTTATGTAACATTTTACAGGCGCGGCAATGCGCGAGAGCTTGCGTAGGCTGGCGTCCGAGGAGGAGTGCATGTACGGTGGTGCGCGGGGTGCGGGGGCAGGTATGCGCCGCGTGCGGGTAGAACTACTCGATGGAGACTACATCAACGTAGACGTTCATGTGAGTACAGCCGGTTAATGCTAATTATGCAAATTTAGTTGTAGAACACCGAAAACCACGTACGACTAAATAACTAACATCAAAAAGTAATAGTACCGGGCGTTATTTTACAATTATATTCGTAAAGAAAACGGGACCCACGTTGGGCGCCAATTAATCACGGTCGAGAGTGACAAACTCGAGCAGTTGTATTATAATGGCGATTATGACATAACTTAACTTCTTTTATAATCGCAATCGCTTTTCGAAGGAATGATGATTTGAATGATCAAAAAATAAAATAAAAACTCAGTTAAATCCTTCGAAAGTTATCAGCAGAGGTCGGAATTAGGTAGAGTTATTTATGTACTTGCATCGAAATGTTGATATTAATGTGGACCTTCCCGGGATTTCTAATGGACAATCCCGTGTGACCAACAATATAACAACTAAATAATAATAACAACGTCAGAGATAGACAAATAAAACAAAGATAATTAACATAAAATTTTTATTAGTTTACATTAATTTACAATACAAATTTTGCAACTTTGGACATCCGATGTCATTAATGTAAGTTTGGCAACGTGCGTGCAGTAGTTTAAATTGTGTAAAAGTAAATAACTTTTTATTTAAAAACTCACAGGATTTTTTCTGCTCTTTAAAATTAATCTCGGGATTTGAGGCATATTCACTTTATTCTTTCGCTGTATGAAATCAGTGTAAGTACATGAATAACTCTACCTAATTCCGACCACTGGTTATCAGTTACAATTCAACTGTTTCGTTTAAAATTTTTCAATTGTATTTCAAAGATATATGCGTCAAAAATTAGCGACATCGTTCAATCAATATCTTTCAAAAAACGTCGCGATCGCAGGAAATTTTTGTAGCGTGAAGTGTGTGAATATCTATCAAATTTCAAATTGAATTGGGCCCGTGAACTGAATTATCTAATTTTTCTCGATCGATGTTTACATAAGAAGCGGATCACTTCTGGAAGCAGGGGGCCAATTCTTTTAAATAAATTTGTTTAAATCGAATCGAAAACGGATCGCAACCGAACGAAACTACTGTTTTTAATGGTTTTTCTAGTCTAGAACTGGAATTGTATCGTATGTCACTTTGTAGAATAGGAAACCCATTTAAAACTGTAGTTTCGTTCGGTTTCGATCCGTTTTCGATTCGATTTAAACAAAATTTATTTAGTGGAATTGGCCCCCTGGTACTAGTCTATTTTAAACTTATCTTTTGTGAATTCATCTGTTCAAACAAGATCGAAAGTTTATAGTGTATTTTATTATTGTGCCTACTTTGAAGTATGACGCGCATCCCTTAGGGTTATCATATTTGTCTTGAGATATATTTTTTTTTTTTTGCAAATTGACTGAACTAACAGAGTCAAGATTATTTTAAGTTATCAATAAAACAAATTAGACTCAGACCTTTTTATTAAAGCAAAAGCAATCATCTCTATTTGTCAAGAGACTTGGGTACTAAAATTGTTACATAGTGTAAGACATAGCCACTTCCCGCTGTCTGTACGTCGAAATCTTTCAAACTAAATTATAGTGATTATCAGCGGTATTAATTAAAAGGACAGCTATTAATTTTACAGATAAAATAACATTTATTACTCGTACGAATTAACGATTCAAAAATGAAATAGCGTCTATCTTTGAAATGCTAACACAACTCCATAGAAACGCATTTTCTATAACTTATAATGTAATAGAAGTAGGACCTCACGCTGCCTCTAATACACAGCTAATCTCTACGAATATGATTTTATTTAAAAAATTATAAAAACGACCGCAAATTTTCCGAGTTTTCGTTCGAGAACAAATATAATATTAGATGTCATGTCAATTTGTGTGGGTTAATTCGTGTAGCTTTTAGATGTAATATTATTTCGTGTGGGTTTATAAGGCGGAATTTTGAATCTTTCATCTGATAACCCTAACCCTTCTTACAACGTTGTTAAAATATTGCGATGTTTCAGCGATCGAATAAAACTATTCTAAACGATCGTAAAGAGTGTATCTACAGAGAGTACTCAAAGATGCGATGTTTATATTACATCTAACAAATATTTATTGTCTTCTTAGGTAAATAAATGCGTCTGACGTTGGAAGGTAATACTGAGCGCTTAGTGTAAGTTTTTTTGACGTTTACGTTCACTGTCGATCGTGAGCGCATTAAGATTTTAGTATGGAATCCGGTGCAGCGCCCCTAGCGGTAACTATCAAGAACTACAAATCTCCATACAAATTCTTAACACGCTCACTAGTGAACGCGTTAGGGTAGAACTTACACTTACCGCTCTGAAAAGATTTATCGTCTCCCGAGCGAGGAGTCAAACATACTATGCATACCAATATGAATGGTCTAACTTTAAAATCTATCGCAATTTCTCTCGATTTAACATTTGGAAGATATTCACGAACTTAACACTAAAACTATTCGATATCGTAATAACGATTGCGATGCGCTACGTTTTTTAGAAAGATATCGTTAATTAAAGGTTTACGTTAGACGCAAATATCTTTGAAGACTATATGAGAAATGTTAAACAAAAAAGTTGAATGCTAACTCCAACCTTTCGATGGGTTCAACTAAATTTTCATTACGTTTCGTGGTCATTCAATATTTTTATTTAGCACGCACTTTCTCTCGACCGCCATTTTGTTTGTCAAAAAGACGGGTAGACCCTTCCGAGCATTGGTATTTTTATATTATAAAAATATGGGCTATGATGTGAATGTTATTCTTTGCCACTGAATAATGAACTTCTCCTTTTTCAGAGAAAGGCTAAAGGTTTTGATCTCTTGGATAAAGTGTGCCAGTCTCTGGAGCTGGTCGAGGGGGACTATTTCGGATTCCTGCATCAGCAGCGAGGCGACCCTCGTGTTTGGGTGGACCTCAACAGGCGTCTATCGAAGACATTTAGAAGTAAGTATTTATTTATCAAAAATAGATATCTTCGAATGTGGACTTTATGGCATGCGGTTGACCCACACCCCTCACGCGGGCTTTAATTTTCTATCGCAATCTTTTGTTTGGTAATGTCTCAAATGCTGGCGGCATAGACTTAGAATCTATAGCAATTTACTTAATTATGCTTATTTTGTGTAAGGGTACCGAAATACAGGAAGAGTAGCTAAATAGCGCAAGCTGGTTTTAGAATTTTGCCAAATTTTCATTATATATCTCTAGCTCCTCTCTGCTTCAGTAGGTACGTTATGCCATTGGTCTCGGGTGCATCTGCAGTCGTTAATACACACGAATTATTATTACTCGACAGCGTGGTGGGTTAAGCCCCATTCTCCTAGATAGATTATATATATGTGGTAAACTGGGCCCAACAGTAGGAGCATTAATAATGAAATCATGATGATAATGCCCGAAATACGTCTGTTACCACATTTCGGAATTTCAAATTTGTCTAAAGAATAGATCCTACTTATTAGTAATATTTTTGCATCAGATGAACCATGGGATGTACGGTTTGCGATTAAGTTCTATCCGCCGGAGCCTTCAGAGCTGCGTGATGACAACACCAGGTACCAGCTGAGTCTCGCCATCAGGAGAGACTTACTCGAAGGTAAAGCTGAAGAAAATTCGCGTTCTACAAAACACATGACAGTCTATTTATTTGGAAAAATGCGTATGCAATCTTAATTCCTCGGGTCTTATCTATCTCTGTCTGTGTCTTGTCTAATAAATGTCTTCAATTTCCTTAACATTTAAACTATTCAATTTATTAATTTATAACTTCAAGTCGTTACTCTTGTAGAATATTTAGATAATCGTGGTCGGTTCTTTACATATTATACATGAGTTACATGACATAGTACATGACCGGCCTTTTAACAATATCAGGCTGTTAATATATCCACTGTCAGGGCACAAGCCTTCCCTAAGGTTAGAATCTCTTTTTCTTTCTTCGATCCAATTCCGATTCATAGGAAGACAAGTGGTAATCCACCACGCACACCCAGTGCATTCAGCCAGCGCATCAATGGGTGTTAACGATTGATAATGCAGCTAAAGAGCTTTCAAATTTCCTTAAATGGTATAGTGAGATAGGCCCTCCTCTCTCCTAATCTACCTCATTAAGAATATGCTCCCAGGTCGTCTGAGCTGTTCAGCTATAACTCATGCTCTGCTCGCGTCGTACGTGGCGCAGGCGGAGCTGGGCGATTGGTCAAGCATGCTCGCCTCTAACAAGCTCGCCGACATGCGCGCCGCGCCGTTGCATGCCATCACGCCAGACCTGGAGGCCAAGGTCGACGAATTGTACAGAAAACACAAGTATGTTTATTATTTAGATTATCATTAGCCTACAATGTCCTCTATGTAGAGGCTCATCACCCAAGCTCAATGCATTTGTGGGTTATTAATATCTTATAATAGAGCCAAGACAGATGTCTTAACGGGCCTTCCGAAGCACATAGAAGCTTGAGATAATAAATTTTTGGTCACTCGTTTAAGTAGCGGTTTAACCAGTGCACCGTCCAACTAGTATTATCTATCTATTATTAAAAATAATCTTCAATTTTATAAAAAGTAGAAATCAAAGCGCTTTTATATTACATTCATTTCATTGAATAAAAATATGTCTTTAAGATATTTTACAATCATTCTATTAGGTTGCGGAAAAAGTCTTTTCACATATAGTATACATAAAATTGTAATAAAATCTTTCTGACCAAATGATCAGCTATAAATGTAGCTGGCTGATTTTAGTTAGAAAAACGTGTGATTTTCTTTTGTTTGTCTTACTGTCAAAATAAGTGAATCTAATAAAGAAATTCCATATATTTTAACATTTTATTATAAAAAAAAAGATAAACTGCAACGCATGCCGGGAAAAAATTGTAATGTTAATAGTCCTAGTCCAGTTTTTGTGAGAGTAGCAGAAATTTTCTTTAAGCGTTTTCAATCCGGAAATTTTGATGTCAAAGATGCACGTCGCTCCGAGTATCTTGTTACAAAAAATGGAGGATTGACTACAAATCAGTTTTGGCCCAAAAGCTGGGTACACAAAAAGTTAGATATTTAGAAACCTCACGAACTCACTGAAATAAACCTAATAAACCGTGTACTCATTTGTGATTGTTTATTACGGCGTAATGAGACCGAACCATTTTTAAAAACGCTGATAATGACCAAAATAGGTGGAGATTTGAAGGTCAGGACTATACGGCGGATGTATTAACACCTCCCAGCTAAACTTGTTGAGTGGCAAAAAATGTGTGAGGTCTAGCGTCATCATGATGAAAAATCACATACCTTCTATTGATTAATTCTGTAATCACCTTGTTGCGAGTTAACTCAGGTTACAGTCTGTGAAGCCTAGCCGACCTTTGGCCATGAACTTTTTCGCACGTTCTTGTAGTACGTAATCCACTTTTTAAGGTCTCTTTAGAATTCTTAAGGCAGTGTCAGATTAACATCACGCGAGGATTATCAATACCACTTGTCGCGGTATTTTGATCAGACGCTCCCAAATTTATATTGCAAGTCTATCATGTCCCTACCCACAAGATGGCAAAGAGTTATCGAACAAAAGGGTACCTACATACTTTAGTTAAATGTAAATAAATTTTATTAAAAAATATTAGATTTATAAAATTAAATCTTCATACAAAATGCAAAGAAACTTTTTCCCCAACCTATTAATTCTTCTATTTTGCCGATTTAAGTCATGTGAAAGGTCAATATGTTGCTGTTTGTGTGGATTATCTGAACATTTATGAAAGTACGCTCACTAGTAGTGAAAACAGGTACTTCAAAAATTTGTCAGTCCTGTTGGGTCTCGTATAGGTCAATGGTTAGAGCAATCACCCGGATTGTGAAAGGTTGTGGGTTCGAGTCCCACCTTGAGGTACCTGGGGATATTTTTAGTATTTTCCATTAAAGATATTATTCCGTCTCGTGTAGAGGCCAAACTCCTGCAGAAGCAGAGTTGAATTATCTGGAGAATGCCAAGAAGTTGTCACTGTACGGCGCCGAACTGCACTGCGCGCGGGACTCGCAAGAGGTGGACATCGTGCTGGCCGTCTGTGCTAACGGCGTCTCTATCTACCGGGACGGGTGAGAAAATGATAGTAATATTAATATTATTCAACAATACGTAATTTAAGCAGCACAAAAATATAGAGGTAAATACCGACCTCTTCTTGAGGATGAAACATGTTTCATAAAGTAATAACGCGAAAACTATAGGAACCACAACGGTGAAGGTATGGGGTCCTACTGGATGATGGAGACAACTGGCAACGTAGACTAAAGGGTAATTATCTCCCTCCGAGCTAGGTGTTGTAAGCCTGGGGACCGCGGTCCAACCGATGTAGGTTGGACATTCTACTTATGCGAATTGATAATGAAACTCATTGTGAGCGATGTAGGTTTCCTTTGTTCTAAATGACATGTAGTATCTTAATTAAAAGTGTACAGCGCCATCTTGTTACTGGGTATTGAAAGTTCTTGCAGTTCGTCTTACTGTCTATTGTTGTAAGTGCGATGTGTAAGATCTCACTACGTATCAGTCGCCATAAAACTAATAATAATCATAAACAGGGACCAACTTTTTCTCACTAACTTACTCTTATTTTTGTCCCATGTTTTTTTAGAGTGCTGATGAACCGGTTCCCTTGGGCAAAGATCACGAAGATCTCGTATAACAAGCGTGTGTACACCCTGAAGTTGCGTCCGAGTGAATTCGATCAGTTCGAGACGCAACTAGCCTTCAAACTACCAGCAACTAGAGCATGCAAGAAATTATGGAAGTGCAGCGTTGAACACCATATCTTCTTCAGGTAACACAAAAACACTACTCATGGTTAGTCTACTAATGCTATCAATAGTTAGTCCACATGAATAGCTTAATAAAAATGGGTAATCCAAATGCGCGCCTAGTGTTGATTTTACTGGCAATGCAAGGTTGACGTTAATGAGGTGTCGAACTTATTTCACTGTCGGTGTCATCATTATTTCCTATCTTATTAACTGTGACACTGTCTGTTTCGACATCTGTCTTTTAATGTCAATGTCAGTTCTCACATCTGCAACCCTCTGCTAAAGAACCAAAGAAAAAGTATTTAAAAAAAACGAAAGCACTAAAAAACGAATGTTCGTGCCGATCCGTTAATCACGGGATAGCAATTAAAACTAGTTTTCTAGTTACTGTGTAGCACTCTGTCTATCGATAATATTGGCGTTTATTTTCCACTCTCAGTACCTTTTATGACTTTTCTAATAGAAAAGACCACATAAAAAGAAACTTTAGATAATTTAACATAGTACATGACGGTTTTCACTGATATTGTTGTTCTGCGTCAGACGCGAGACGCCGGTGCAGGTGTGTCGCGTGTCGTCGTTCCCGGCGCTGGGCTCCCGCCGATTCTCATGTCGACGCACACTACGGCAACTGCGTGACCACACACAGTCACTCACGCACGCACACTGACACAACACATCCACACCAGCACGCGTAGCATGACAAACTCGAGAAACGCTTTGTCTACACTCATTTGTCAGTTTCTCGGGTCGAGAGTGAGATATAGTATGGGCGCACCCGAGAAAAGTGACATTTGAGTGTAGACAAAACGTTCTCGAGTTCGTCATGCTACGCGTGCAGGGGCTCTATTCTTGAATCATTCGTGTTGCGTCGAGCACTCGTTTTCATCGATATTTGTTCGACATAACAAATTCGCCATTTCTAATTACTTATTTCTAATTATCCATACTAGACAAGGGAATTACTGATGTAAAGGCATTCAAATCTATTTATTGTGATTCGATTACTATTTTGTCCAAACTTATATTGGGCTCTCGTTAGAAGTTAAAATGGCGGTTAAATACCAATTGAATTAAATGTATGAATCGAATGTAAGAATATTAAACATTAATGTAATACACATGTTAATTTGTTCAAGCCCTGTTGCATTGTACTTCACGTTTTATTGCAGTTAATTAACAATATTATTTTAACCTCTTATATCCTATTAATATTATAAATGTGAAAGTTTATTTGTTTGGATGTTTAGATGTTTGGATGTTTGTCGGTCAATCACGCCGAAACTACTGAACGGATTTTGATGAAATTTGGTATACAGATAGGGTATTAGCTGACTTAGATAATAGGATAGGTAATTTTTATCCCACTAAACATTTCCCTAGGGTCCACGCGGGCGAAGCCGCTGGCGAAAGCTAGTATTGTATATAATCGTTCTTGGCAAATATCGATTATTGTAAATAGGCAAAATTAATTCGTTATACAGCAATTACTCAATATATAAAAAGTGAAGCACAAGATGGCAATACTCTACACCGAATGTAGTGTACGAAATGATTGACTACATGTTTATTGTCGTTCTAAACTTTTATGGTCATTAACATCAAAATAATAGTTATTTAAGGTACTTCTACCTACCTAATTTACGTTATTTTTATCGAGTCTCCGTTGTTTCGGTGTTAATTGCAACCGCCATATTCTTAGAACTAATTGAAGACTCCATAAAAATAAGTTACATGGCAGCGATCCCGATATTTTCAAGAATTATCAGAGTATAGTTAACTAGCTTTCCGCCAGCGGCTTGGCCCGCGTGGTCTTGTATTATACAAAAAAACCTTCCTTTTGAATCACCCTATCTATGAAAAAAAAACCGCATCAAAATCCGTTGCGTAGTTTTAAAGATTTAAGCATACATAGGGATATAAAGACAGAGGAAGCGGCTTTGTTTTATACTATGTAGTGATACTCTGAAAAATCTTTGTTTACAATAGTTATAAGTGCAAATTTAAAAATTAAACTAGTAGACTAGAAAAATTAAATTATTTAAAGCTTTTTGTGATAAATCTCCGTGGAGGGTTACACATTTTAACCAGAAATATTATTTCAAAATATTCTACAGTCTCTTTTTTGATTATCTATCTATAAGCTAATCTCAATTTACTATTAAATAGAAATTTTGTAATACGAACAAAAAACATAAATAAGTATTTATAAGTATTTATGTTTTTTGTCTGAATATTCTAAACTAAATCGTGAGAAAATATTAACATTGTCAATTTGCCTACGACGAATGCAAATATACACATGTTGTGTGTACACAAATGTTATGTGTACACACATACTGTATTTTAGGCGCATAGTTCAATTGTTCATCTACAAAATAAATATATTTTTATAAATATAAATAATTCGTTTATTTGTGTATTTATTTTTGGTGTTTATTTATTTATATTGACATAGATTACATATTATAGACATAATTATATCGAAGTAAATTCATAGTATAGTCAAACGATTTATATAAAACAATTAGACCTACTACTGTATTGTTATAAAAAAATATGTAAGTGCCATTGTTATAATAATTAACTATTTATATCTGCAATAAAAATACTATATTTGTGTCAACATATTTATCAATTACATTCTGTTATAATTTAGTGAAAGCGAATAGTAAAAGATTTATTATTAAAAATATTTTTAAAAACAAACATCTGCAAATGTAATATAATTATAAAAGTATCTATTAAAATATTTTAATGATAATTTCTGACGTTTTTTATTTATCTCTTTGCTTAAAAATGTGACTAATAAATACACAATGAATTTTTAATTAATCCGCTTATGCCCGTTTTTACTAAACGTAGGAGTTGCCCAAATCTGTCGGCTAAATATTTAGGAATCTCCTAAGGTAAAAATACATTTCACCATTAACTAGGTACATACGACAGGTCATATATATGTCAAGGGATAAATGAAAAAAATATTAAATTGGAAATAAACTACGCTTCTTAGAAGATTCGCAATATTAAGCTTTTTCTAATTAAGCTATGCCTTGTTCTAGGTTAGTGAAAATGGATGTTAAAATTATCACAAAGGAGGGGGTTACATGTTCGACTGCGATGTTTGTTTTTTTTTTTATGTGTTGTCATCGATATTTACGTAAATTGTTTGACCGATTTCCAAATTCTTTTATTCGACAGCTTAATGGACCGAGGTTGTCCCATTAAAATTTTATCGAAATTGAATCGGTAGTTTTCTTCTATAACAAAACAAAATATGCTTTTCACAGATATCACTCGAATATTTATTTATATGACATGTTTATTTCAGCTAAAAAAAAGATTGCGTATTTTGCATTGATTTAAAACTCGAAAGGAGGATCTTCTATGTTCAAAGAGTATGTATATTTTTTATGATAGTTGGTGTATTCATCGATTTCTTCTTGAACTGTAAACCATTTCTATCAAACCAGCTGTTTCCACGCGACTTCGTCTGTATAAATTTTAGCCTATATCCATCGAGTATTATAAAACTTCGAGTAGATAACAGACTTATAAATCGGTCAAATAGTTTCGGAGCCTAAAATATAAAAAAAAAACAATCAAGCAATCAAATCTTTCCTCTTCACAATATGAGTATAGATTATTGGAAAAAAAATATCGAACAAATAAACTTTAACTCCTTTTCTAGTATTTTACTATGTTGAATATTTTTATTTACATAGATATTTAATATCCTTAACCGAGTTTAAAAAAAGTTCTAAACAAGTGTATAAAATTTTATAGATGTTTGTATGTGTGTGTATGTATGTCTGTATGTTTGTCCACGGACATCTCGCAAACTAGAAGTCGGATTGCATTGATTCTTTTTTTGTTTAATTGTTTAGCTTTCAACTTAGAGTACAGTACAAATCTATCTAGTTGTTTTGAAGATATAAACCAGGGGTTCCCAATCTTATTCTGTCTACTGCCCACTTTGAGAAAAAATTGGGGCGTTTTTCACCTACTTAAAAACAATTATATCTTCAAATAAAATTAATTCATTATTGTAAGCTAAATTAGAGGAGATTAAAGATTAATTTTAAACGTGACTTTTACTATAACTCGCAGGAGTTAACTTTAAACCTGAGCGCAGTAGGTAATACAGAACGGCACTCAGTCAACTCTTATCAAGTTAACTCTTACGGGCTATACCTGCCAATAAAAATGATTATTGAAACGCAATTTATAGTATTCAAAGATAGTATTTTATATTTAAAATAAAACTGAAATAATTAATTCTTATATAAAAACTAATTTGAAGGATGAATCTGATGCTGTTTAATAAGTCTGCTGATATCAAGTTCCAATTTACTCAAGAGCAGTGGTAAGTTGCTACGTTCGGTAATTGTGCAACTCACGTCTGCGAAACCAAACTCCTTTTATACAAAAAGATAACATAATAAGCCTCACGTAAGACAGCAATAATGCTTCATTACTTGAATTGAGTAGAATTGAGAATTGACTTGTTCTCGGGTAATTGCACAATGATCCTTCAATGTTTTCAGCCATTTCATCAATTCGTCTTTGCACAGAATTATTACTCAAAGGAATTTTTTTAAATTACTTCTGCTACCGGTTTATGAAGCACAGTAGTTATTACGCCTTCTCTGATGTTATGTGGTTTGCCTTTTTTAATAATTATCAAATAATTATTCAAATGATCTTGCAGTTTTGAAGACTTCATTACTTCATTCGAAAATGTTTTCAGACATAGAAGGCGTAAAGACGACGATGGGTTGTGGAATTTTCAGTGATTCCGAATTTGATATATTCCACAAAGTGTCTCCGGCTCTCTTTTACTTCCGACATTGTCAACTTGTTTTGTGAAATACGTAAGTAAGGACTTAAGTAGGTACTACTTATCTATTATGTGTGAAACCGCAAATGAAAATAAAATAAACATTGCGTTGTTTATATAGGATTGCATAAGCGGCACTCACCGACAGGAATAAAACAAACATGCATAAACCCGTTTATTTCATTCGAGGCTCGATCGTACTTATCAAGTAGGAACAAATATTATATGAACCAGCCGATTGATACAGGAATGCACAATTCGGGTTAAACTTGTTAAAAATAATGTTGTAACCCGCGGTCTACTATTTACGAACCTATCTGGGATTACTAACTATTAAATTGAGAAAGTATGTCTGTAGCCTTTTTATTTGTTTGTTAATGTCTACTTTCATTTCGAAACAGAGGGACCAATTGACACAATTTTGATTTTATAATATTCAATAACTATGTTTATATAAGTATATATGACGAAGATGTCTATACTGAAAAATTGTCTTAATACAAAATGCTTAAAAAATCCACTTGGTCCCTGGCACCCTGAGAAGGGAATCGAACCCACGACCTTTCGCAATCCGGGCGACTGTGCGACCGGGCGCGAGTGTTATTATATAATATATATACAAAATGAAATAAAAATCTTAAAAAAAGCGACTTCAAAATAAGCATTATTTATCACATTTTTAAAATTTGAAGTTGGTTCCATTTATTGAAAAAGTGTTTATCTAATTAATAATTAGTAAAGTATTATGACTTTTGCAAATATTTATGTTTCCTAAATTATATTAATCTATTTCCATCCCCGGATTCTAGTTTCAAAAACGATTTATATATTTTTTTACCATTAACTTCAGTTTTGAAAAGATAAATAATACCAATTTTTTTTTTCTGGAATATAATCGAAACACAGTAAGTGGACTTTCTATAGCAAATAATAATAATAATAATATTCGAACTTTGAGAGTTCGTACTTCTTCCAAATTCTTGTTTATTTTTTGAAATACTTGCTTCAATTATAATTACTTCTACTCGACTATAGATACGGGTATCAATGTTTTATAAAATCTAGATATTCTCTTAGGTTTTATCTTCTTCTGTTTATAACTTACGACAATTACTTATCTACATTACAACTAAATATCTTAATATTAACAAAAAAACATTGCGTAGTGCATACGTTCTTGGCCCGTTAATTTAAAGATAAACTATTCATCCACCGTGGCTCCCCTTATCTATATAAATACCTATTCAATTAACTTAAAAAAAACGTTCTAAAAGAAAATTCTAATTAACATATAAACAGAACATGAGTATGATAAAAAAAATTAACATTAACGTTGTGTTGATAGAAAATAAGTTTGAGGGGCGTACCTACACCACAAATAACTGTTTCTATTTTGTTTTAAACCAAGAAATTACGTTAGATGATGACTGTAAACATCTTATTGGATATTTCACCACCAGCCCTTTTACGTCCCCACTGCAGGGGCTCAGGCCTTCCTTATGGATAGTTAAGGAGGATGGGCCATGACCCTCCACGCTGGCCCAATGCGGATTGGAGGGTATTGACGACTGCAAATGCAGCCGGGACCAACGGCTTAACGTGCCTTCCGAAGCACGGAGTAGCTCGAGATAATAATTTTTTGGTCACCCATCCCGTGACTGACCCTTGCGAAAGTTGCTTAACGACGCTTATCCACTACGCCACCGAGCTACTTATTGGACATTTGTATAGGACTAAATACACATAAATTGTATAGGTATACAAACATTGCCTCGCACTTCATTTCTTCTTGAATAAAAACCGGATATAAAAATGTTGTCATTGTAAATACGATTAAATTGACTCTGAGTACAATAAATAATCATTCACCTTGATCACAAAGGTGTTTGTCTTATCTGGAAGTGCTATAAATTGATTTCGAGATAATTATGGATGTAGGCATCATAAAAAACTGTATCTTTGTAAGTTCTCTATATAATATTTTCCTTTTTTTATTATTCTGTTACACTATGAAACAAAAGACTAATATCAAAGAATTAGAATTCAAAGAATAACAGAATAGAAAACAATTGCATCTTATTTCAATAAAAATATTAGGTAAGTATGTAATCAATTTTCCATTCAAAGTGCTATACGCCAGTCCCTGGTACCTTGAGACAACATTTCCTTTATGTGCGGTACCTGGGACTGGGAATTATTAATAAAAATATTTGTTTCTCTAAAACATAGTAACCAAATGTAACTAATTCACGCGTCTTTGTTTTGGCTTTGATTGACGTCATATGGTCGACAGCTGGGGATAAAGTGGTTTGTATGGTATAAGACAATTGTTGTTTTTACTATTTTCCTTCGGGTATTTATATTCTCTCTGTAATAACATTATTCAGACTTCATCAAACACAACAAAATATAAATCGGTCAAATCGGTTCAGCTGTACTCGAGTTTTACACATTAGCGATTCACTTTTATTTATATACTAGCTGTGCCCGCAACTTCGTCTGTGTGGGAAGTATTTTGGTAGAATTCTTTTATTCCTATGAATGGAGTCGAATCGAATAAGATCAAAGGGCCATAACCCACTGTGCTTAATGCGGATCGGTGGGTGTTCACGTTGCTGATGCAGCCGGGACTATCGGCTTAACATGCATTGTGCCAGTGTTGTGCACAGTGCTCAAGATAATAATGTTTTGGTCACCCATCCTGTCCTTACGAATGTAATTTTTCTATCTTTTTTCTCGTTTCACGCGCTTTGGTTGTTGAAACTGTCCATCTTTTGTTTTTTTGTTTTTCATGTATTTCCCGAGACCGAGCGCTTTCAGTCCAATCTCTATCTTTGTCAATAAAAGTCGGTCGGTACATGTCTGACGGAAGATACGTGGAGTTTTATTAATTGATATAAAAAATAAATATACATATTTTAATTTAGACTTTCCACACTCGAAGGAAGTCGTCTACTAACACATACTTCCGAGAGGTGCTTTACTGAGCTTCCGTCAGATTTGAACGGCCCTCATCATCATCATCAGCCCTTTTACGTCACCAACTGCAGGAGTCTTATGGATTAAGGAGGATGGGCCACGACCCTCCATGCTGGCCCAATGCGAATTGAAGGATATTAACGACTGCAAATACAACCGGGACCAATCGCTTTACGTGCCTTACAAAGCTTGAAGTTGCTTGAGATAATATTTTTTTGGTCACCCATCCTGAGTGACCAACCTTTGCGAAAGTTGCTTAACAACTATAATCGCGAGCCATGGCGTTTATTTACTACCAAATATTTATGACCTGACATGTACTCAAACGCCTAGTGAAATGCGCCGCATAACGAATATCATAACTTTAGATATTGCTTAATTTCGTTAGATGGTCACTAATCAATGGTGAAATATATTTTTTTGATAATTCTTTAATATCTAGCCGACAGATATGGGCGACTCCTAAGTTAAGTGGAAACGGGCATGAGTGATACAAAACAATCTTAACGAATTATATCTGTATATCAGCCAGTTGCACATACGTCCATTTCATTAGTTTAAAGCGACATTATCCATACAAATTTAAAATACATTAGAGCTTAATGGCGTCATTAAACCTTAATCGACGTTTTGTGAAACTGACCGTATATATATTGATAAACCATTAAAAATAATTAAACATAGTTTACGTAGTTTTCACACTCTTTCACTTCACTGCTAATTGATGATGATAATTGACCATTTTTTTTAATTAGCTACTCAAAAGCAATCAACTTTATTTTATAAAACACTCGGTGGTTTCAATTCAACTGGCTCAAACTACTTTTACATTGGTATAAATCTTAGATAAACGCTCCTATTATAGTAAGTAGAGTAGAAGTATTAAATTATTGAACATAAGATACAACTTAAACAAATATTTTAAACCAATAGACGTGAATTTGAACTTTAACTTTAGACTGTTAATACTTACTTTAGTTCATTAATCATTATTGTTTAGATATTTATCAAAAATATTTGCTCGTGTAAATTACTTTCTATTGAACTGAAGATAAGAGACTCTGATTTGCTTATTAGCAAATTATTAATTTTGTTGATGTGACGAATTTTATGCATATGTCGCAATAAGATAGATAAAGCCGTAATATAGTTATATCCCTAGGGATATAATTATATACCGTAACATAGTTGTACAGAAGCGATTCATTAGTATCTCACTAGGAATATAGTTATAAAGCGGTCCAAGTTTAGTGATATACCTATATTACTAGATTAAGTTTAGTGACATAGCTGCCGAAAACTTAAGAAAAGCCGCACAAAAAATGAAAACCCACTCATCACAGAAATTTCCTGACATTGACGTGGGATCTTCAGTTCTTATAGAGATACCAAAGATAGATCGTGGACCATTGGATCAATAAAATGTATTAGGAAAAGTTTTAGAAAAGCAAAATGAATGTGATAATATTGGAACATCACTTGGTATTCTGAAAGATTGGTTACCCAGAAATGCAATACAGCTTTCAAACATTACTTTGAATGATCCTATACCAAATGAAAACTTGTCACTGAGAGAAATATGGTCTTGGTTACGTAGTGGATAAGCGCCGCGGCCCGCAATCGTTGTCGTTACAAATTATTATCTAGAGCTACTCCGTGCTCCAGAAGGCACGTTAAGCCGTTGGTCCCGGCTGCATTTGCAGTCGTTAATACCCTCTAATCCTCATTGGGCCAGCGAAGAGGGTCATGGCCCATCCTCCTTAACCATCCATAAGGAAGGCCTGAGCCCTTGCAGTGGGGACGTAAAAGTGCTGGTGATGACGATGATGATGAGAGAAATATACCAAAAATTGTCGCGCTTCGGTGGCCAACCTTATTTAAAATGTTCCTGTAAAAAATCGAATATACAGTGTTCTACTAAAAGATGTGTGTCATGATTCCTCTTCTTGTCTAAACAAAATTAAAAAAAAAAATACTTTTAAAGAGACCAACATCTCAACTTAGTTGATATGAAATAAAGATATCTCAAAACTGTTGATTAGTTATAAAATGTTTAATGTTTGATTACATAGTTTTAATTGTATTTACTTTAATACATGTTAATATCACAAAGTATTGTAACTAACTGCAGGATACATAAAGTTGATTTTTTAATAGAGATAAAACCAATATAATATTATTTTATTTAATTATTTATAACACTGAACTTAATCTAGTAATATAAGTATATCACTAGACTTAGACCGCTTTATTATCTTACTGCGACACATATACGAGTATATGTAATTTGTTCAACACGATATACCTCATGTTAGGTAACACTATACATGTTAAACCATGACCGAGGATATAATTGTGTTGTACCATAACATTTTGTTACTCGGCCGTTTTATAACGCAACGTTTGTGGACATCCATCGCTGGCTGGTTGATTCAATACACACTTCAATACAACTACTTTCACCGTTACTTTGCGTTCACACCAAACCGACAGTCAGCAGCTGACTGTGAACGAGAGTTCAACAATTCCATACGTAATAAATAAATAAATAAAATATAAGACACCCCGTGATCCTGATTTTGAGTGTACGGACAATCAAAGACATTGACCGAGACCGAGCTCTCTAACCACTACGCCATCGACCACACACAAACAATGAAAAACATAACACAAATCTCCAAAGATTGTTATATTATTATTATTATTAGTATATAAAAAATATGCATTGGATGGGTGCTTTTGTTTATTAAACATCGGAAAGAAAAGATTTTTTGGACCTAATATACGAAGAAAATGATACCCTAGGAAAAATTGCGCAGTACTTTATTTTTAATAATCTATAACAAGGATGGATGAACTTAAATGACATACGGAACTCCCTAACACCTCTATAGATTTTAAGAATTATTTATCGAGTTTTTGAACCTTTTTGAAAATTTTTCAATAAGATAAATGAATTCCTCTTATATAGTTAGTATTAAGGCGATAATCGAAAGTTCGAGCTAAAAAAAGTACAATAGCGTAAACTCAAAACATAAATTACGTATATAGATCATCGGTTTCCGTGAAACAGGTTCAGTCCACACTGTGCTGTGCAAAACGACACTCCATTTGTGTTCATTGAAAAAATACGCACCATAAGTGATGTCCTTTATAAAACATAATGTAAGTACACGTCGAGGCTCATCATAGATTTCTAACCGGCCCTCAGAACTTATTGCTGTCTTATAATAAGTGATATATCACTATTACTAGTTCATAATCTACCTCTATATATCTATATATATCTTTAAATTGGTTCTGCAGTTTCCGATTCTATCCATTAGAAAAACAAACAAAAGTAAAAAATCTAATCCTTGTTATATATTTATTACAGCAGAAAAAAATTATCTGTATGTAATCGAAATGTAACGAACTCTTCAATTTACTTTGTAGAGTTTTGGAAGTGCTTATTTATGTGGTTCTTTTTTTCAATTCAGTATAATAATAAATTATTACATTAATCGTCTTAATTATAAAATTAGCAATGCCTTTCTTTTAATATTCTACGTTTTGTATTGTGTTGATTAATGTCTAGCTAGTATATATAACAGTCCACATTGACAGGAAATTTAAGGTTAGTATAATGAAATTTGAATTATATCACATGATTTTTTAGAGCTTCAGCGGTCAAAACCAGTGGGTGTTATTAGATAACAATACCTTACTTCACTTAATATAATTACGTATTAAATGTAGATGAGGGTATTTAATAATAGCACCAAAAATATTTATTACACTATATTCTAGAAGTTCTAACAATCAACAGCTTATTTGTAACACAACCCATTACGTATTTGTAATATCTATCTACTATATGTATCAAGAAAGAAAGAATATCATTTGGGGACTTCACGACCCTCGGTAATAAGAAACACGATTTGGAAAAAATAAAAATAACATTATTTAAAATAAGCAGTTATTTGCTAGCCTAAAGTGTTATCATATCTATCTAATTCTTATATACTCTCGTCTCACAATGTACGTCATTGATAAATTCCTAAACTACTGAATTGATTTCAGTGAAAATTCTCCTATAATTTAGTGTAACTTAATAATTTTTATCTCAATTATTTACTTCGATGAGTTACAGCAACTCGTGACTGAGTCAGCTAATAAGTTATTTAAAACAGACTATCAATAATTGTTTTATAAATTAGAAAATGTTACTTAAATATATTGACACAGATGATAAATTAATGATTAGGTAAATATGACGACAGCTTCACCATGTTTATTTTAATATTCGGTATTTAATAAGGAGAAACATTTCATTTGACGAATAAATAAACTCGGCTATTGTTTTAAATTTGTCTATAGTAACATCATAAAGAGGTTAAGTTTCTTATCTTGTTTATTTATTTGTAGGGGTTAATTTTCGAAAATACTGTTTCGACCGTGAACAACTTACTTTAAGATATTAATATTTTTGTAGGAGACCCAACACTTTTGCTCCTCAGTTTAGAACAAATCTGTGCGTAGTATAAAATGAAGTCGCGTCCCGCTGTCTGAAGGTTGAAATCTTTTTAACTACACAATCAATTTAAATTCGGTTTTCACCAATATACGGAGTGATACAAGAGGAACGTTTACTTATGTAGGCATAATGCATATCGGTGGTGTCGGTACGGAAAGCTAGTAATGTGTAAGCACTAGATCAAAACAAGATTATTTGCTAAATGGACTATATTCAATTTCTTCTAGTAATAATTTTTTTACGAGAAAATTAATAAATAATATTGTCACTCTAAGGCCGAGGCAAACAAGTTTATAATAATGCAAACGAAACTCGATGGAATTGTAAAACATTAATTTAAATTCTTTATCAGTACCTAAATAAATACTGTTAACTTATAAGGACTTAGTACAAAATTTTGTAAACTAGCTGTGCCTGCGACTTCGTCTGCGTTAGAAAGTATATCACATGTACCCGTATTTTGGTCTAACTTACTGGATAGGATAGTTATCACCTCAATTATTCGCTGATGTCGTGAATGTAAACGAATAAAATGTACTAATTAATTGTTTGTTAAGCAAGTGTTTATTTTTCCTCAGTTGTGATTAGAGAAATAAAATATAGCGGTACGAAGTTCGCCGGGTCAGCTAGTTAATTATAAATTTACAGACTATATCAATACGTAGCTCGATAGCGCAACGGATAAGTACCGCTAACCGCGGTTGTTGTTGTTAAGCAATTTTCGCATGGGTTTTTTACGGGATGGGTAATCAAAAAAATATTAAATAAAGACCTGAGCCCCACTGCATGGTGCTTTAAAAGAGCTGACAATGCTAAACAATATACCAGAGACTAAAATTTTATAAAGTAATCAATATCATAGCAATTTTGGCGAACACAGTACTTCAAATTGATATAATTTTTTTATTTACGAAACGATAGAAATAAAACTTACACTAAATGTTAACGGAAGGTTACCACAATACAATAGTGAAAACTACATTTAAATCGGTTCAGCCGTTTGCCGGTTCAGCGTGCACAAACGCACAGACAGACACATTTTTTAAAAATCGTTGATTTGTATTCTGTTACTTTTATATATAAATGCTTCTATTAACAGTTTTTTTCATATATCTTCAATGTACAGACACCGATCGGTTTCGTTTTTATTATAGTATATAGAAGATATTCAGCCAGTTGTACAAACGTCCATTAAAATTTTCATTAGTTTAAAGCAACATTACCCATACAAATTTGCTATTCATTAGAGCTTAAAGGCGTCATTAAAGCTTAATGGACGTTGGTGCAACTCATCTTCATCATCATCATCAGCCCTTTATACGTCCCCACTGCAGGGGCTCAGGTCTTCCTCATGGATGATTAAGGAGGATGGGCCATGACCCTCCACGCTCGCCCAATGCGGATTGGAAGGTATTAACGACTGCATTAAATGCAGCCGGGACCAACGGCTTAACATGCCTTCCGAAAGAAGGAGTAGTTCGAGATAATACTTTTTTGATCACCCATTCCGTGACCGACTCTTGCGAAAGTAGCTTAACGACAACGACCGCGGGCTGCGGCACTTATCCACTACACCACTGAGTTACTAAGATTTATAAGTTATTAATTATCAGCCATGTTTATTTAACAATCAAATAATATAATCTATTGCTACTTCAATTATATTCGTAAAGAAAACGGGACCCACGTTGTCACCACGACCCATGTTGGGCGCCAATTAATCACGGTCGAGAGAGACAAACTCAAGCAGTTGTATAGTATAGTTGTAAAGCGATTATGACATAACTTAACTTTTATAATCGCAATCGCTTTTCGAACGAATGACAATTACGACATGGCGGTAAAGCAAAATTTCGAAAAAAAAATTGGGTACCTCCCTATGTAAAGTGGAGGTGATATTTTTTTCGACTTCCCCATAGGTCATCATTATTTAGGCCGTTTTTCGATTTAATGAACCGTTTGTAACTTATTAAGCTTTATTAAAGAGCTTATTTTCGTTAGAGTCGAGTGTCCCCCTCTGCAATAAACGGCCGTTGGTAAAAATTCAAACAGTATAGGCAGTAGTAATAAACTCCATAGAGAACGAGAAATGTGATTTTTGTACTTTTTTAAAGGATAATAAAGCGTTCGTGCGCGAGTTCAACTCACACTTGGTTGGTTTGAAGGCGTTGAGAAACCTTACGTTGGTCGGTTCTTTCATCGCCATCTTTCATTCATTCAATTTTTTACCGACTTCAAAAAAGGAGGTTTACAGTTTGACCTGTATGTACGTATGTATTTATGTTTGTGCGTGATTATCTCGTCCTTAGCTGAACCAATTTTGATGCCGTTTTCAGCATAGTATTTGTCAGAATTAGGAGAAGGTCTTAGGTATATAAACCGAATAAAAATGGAAGCTCGTTCTTTAACACGTGTTGTATGTATTGTTTACGATTATCTCGCATTTGACTGAACCTATTGTGACACGGTCTTCGGCTAAGTATTTTAAGTGTTACCTATAATATAAAAAATAATAATACCCCTGAAAAAGCATGAAATTAAATCCTTAAAAAAGTAGAACCGACCGAGAAAAAGCGACTTATTCAATAAAATGCTCTTGAAGTCGGGCGCCTATCATTTAAGTTAATAACCTATAGAAAACCTTCACTTTTTATTTTTACTCGTAGAAATTAATTAATTCACTTAACATTGGCAGAATTGTGCGAAACGCGTAGATAAGCCATTATTAAAAAAGAAGAAGAACGTAAATAAGTTGTGTCAATAAGTATCCCCAAGATTTGGTTGTATGGCTTAGTTCCTTCGCCTGTCCCATGGACGAATTATAATACTACTACTCAATAAGAAACATAATCTTAATCTTTTATATGTGTAAAATTAAACGTGATTATTAATTATAGATTAGATTAAAAAGATTATTTATGGGTATAGAAAAGATTCATCGAAATCCAAGTCTGAGATGGGACTCGAACACATATTTACTCAAACCCGGCTGTTGTGTTAGGTGTTAAGTTAGGTGATTCATGTTATGTAATTTAGGGTACCCTATCCAGTACCTACTAGGTACTTAGTTTATTAAGGATTTGTGCAATGAATGTAATGTTGTGTAAATAAGTTAATATTTATTTATTTTTGTTGTTCTAGCAGACAATGACAGTTCTACTGGTGTGTCTATCAATGATATTAGTTATAGAAGCCAACCCTGCCAACTTCCTTAAGGACATCACCAACGGAATTGCTAAGGAGGCGATCGCAGTAAAGAAACCCGTGCTGGAAACGGTTGTGGAACTCACCTTTAGTCAGTGTACGGATAATTAATCTGTTTTCTAATATTTTCATCATTTGCCCTTTTACGTCCCCACTGCAGGACTCAGGCCTTCCTTATAGATGGTTAAGGATGTTAAATACAGCTGGGACCAACGGCCTTCCGTAACACGGAGTATCTCAAGATAATATTTTTTGGTCACCCATCCCGTGACCGACCCTTGTGAAAGTTGCTTAACAACAACTATCGATTCACTACGCCATCAAGCTAACAATATTCTCATCACCTTTAATGTCCCCACATCTGAAGCAGTGACCCTCTAAATTTATGGAATCAAATCAGATTGTACAGCGAGAACGGGCCTAGTATGAATAAGTGTATTTAATTTATGACCAATGCTTTAACGTGCCTTCTAAAGTATAAAGGCGCTCAAGATAATACATTTTTCGTCACCTATTACCTGGCCTTTGCTTAACCTCTATATCTCAGACCGAACGCGCTACCACTCCGCCATCGAGTTCCTTAATACTCTTCTATCAATACGACCTCCGTAGCCGAGTGGTTCGCACGCCGGTTTCAAAGTGTCGCCATCTCTGAGGTCCCGGGTTCGATTCCCGCTCGGGTTAATGTAGAAAATGAACTTTTCTATATTGTCTCGGGACTGGGTGTTGTGTGATCTTCGTTGTCTCAGATACTCCATAATACGGGGGCTTTAGCTACTCATCTTGGAATCTGAGCAATGTAAATGACGTTGTTTTTTAATAAGATATTTATTTATATTTAGTAATATTAATATATTTAAATACAATACTCATACTAATAACTAGCATGTTTCCACGCGAATCGGATTTATATTTGATTTATCATGAAAACAATTATTTTGAGGGCCTACTCTATCTACGAGCGAAAATTCGGAAACTTTCGAATACTTCTTATGATTTTGAAGATTATCTGGGCATTAGATGCAGTATACCTTTTTTTTTGACACTGGGAAATGCATTACTGCATACCCCGGGTCGCCTGCGTGGCTAACCGGGGTTATGTGGGGCTTTCCCCTGCAGCCCCGCCCCAGAATGGGGCTATTCAAAGAGCAGGGGTTTACCCACTAAAACCCAGCGATGTCCCTCGCATGGAAGGCGATGCACGGGATCGGCCCGAAGGCCATACACCGCGCAGATGCAGTATACCTCCGTTGCATTATAAATAATCGAAATAATACTTTTGTTCGAGGTTGAAATAGTCTCGAAAATAATTTTCGGAGAAACAGAGTTAGCCTTCCGATCCTGTCCCGCGTGTCGTTGAGAAAATATAATCTAAAATAATATGTACTACAGCAGCCGTGACGCCACGTAAAACACAGACCATGTAAATTATGCTTAATACTCTCATTATCAGCTTATTAACATCCAAGTTATTACAACGGGTCATACATACCTAACCCACCATCGAGGTCAATGCGTTAATACACTTGGTAATTCTTTCTAAATTTTCTCTTTAGAAGAACTTAGATGAGAAAGTATCTATGATTTAATGGCGCAGTAGGTAAGTACGGTCGGTTAAGAATGTGGAGGGCAAGCTATTTTCGTCAAGGTTTTTTTTCAGATGGGTATCCGAAAATATATTATCTTGATTCTTGTGCTCTTCTGTCAATAAGTTTATCTTACGAATATACTTAAATATCATAGTGGTTTAAATAAAAAATACAAGCAAACTCTCCTCCCACAGGTGAAGCTATAAAGAAGTTATTCGGTCTGGACTACAATAGAATAAGCAAGAGCACCGACATCGAGCCGGACCTCAATCAGCTCACACTCAAATACGTCACACCGTGAGTAAATACACCTGTAAAAAGGTTAGAACTACCCTTTTTACATCGAAGAAATGCATTAGGCTCTACCCCTACCGCCCGGCAAGAGACTAGGGGTGTGTGCTCCCCCTGGCGAACCCACCTCGTGGCTAGCCGCGCGGCAGGTTCCCCGAGCCTAAACTCGGCGGGCTCTTTGCCGGATCCCAGGTCCTTCCACTCCTGGAGGGCACTCGCAGCGGGGTGTGCTTTTTAGGACAGGTGCGGGGTCGGAAAGCCCTGGTTTAAGGCCTAAGGTTGCATTTCTCGTGCGTTATAAAAAGTTCCCCGAGGCCTACTCAAATGGTTGAACTACCTACTCTGCTCTGACAGAGCGTTATTGAATTTTTCCGTTATTTTTAGTTTTACCGCACAGCCCATGGTTTTCTGCATTTCTAAAACAAATAGGTAACGATTGACCTCAGATTCATGTTTATTGATTTTCATAAAGATTCACTGGCAAATCTTTATGCCTGACCTGTTGTAGTAGCTTGAACAACTGTGCATAGGAATGTTGATTGTAGAATGATAACCCATTTCCCATAACACATAATCTGTTTCAAATGCGCGCTTTCGAGTTTGCTGTCAGGTCATATGATGTTGCTCTTTTTATTTAGACATTATTTTAAAAACAAAACTAAGCAGAGCACACAACAATCTGGCAGGAATCCCGATTGCGCGAATTTAAAACAGATTTATGTATTACTAGTGGCCGCCAGCGACTTCGTCCGCGTTTACCATTATTTCTTCGCTCCTAATAGTTGCAGGGTGATGTTATATAGCCGAAAGCCTCCCTCGATAAATGGTCTATTCAACATTCAACACAAAAAGATTTTTTCAATTCGAACCAGTAGTTCCTGAGATTAGCGCGTTCAAACAAACAAACAAACACTTCAGCTTTATAATATTAGTATAGATATATCGGGTCCAGGATGATAAAATAGTAACAAAATGAAATTATTAACTTGACATTAACAAACCCTAGGTTCCTGTTTTTTATGACATATCTTTGTCATGTGTTTCTCTTTGTAGCTACCCGAAGACTAATGTCATTAAACCAATGTATTTCTCAAAAATCAATTTCGACTAATATATTTCTACACCGATTTCTATGATTCTTTTTTATGGAATACTTAATGCTGTTAACTTTTTTAATTGGGGATGACTGAGAGTGTTATAAACGTAAGAGTAGACAATAGACAAATACAATCAGAAAGCTTCGAACTGCTAAGCTATCGGGAGTTACACGTGTTATTGTGAGTCAACCATAAAAGATAGACATATCGTGGGATATTTTTTATATAATTTTAAGGAGAACATTTCCGTCATACATGATTTCTGGGTAGCTTTAACCATTAAGGTTGCACACGCGACGGAAGCTTAAAAAATGGAGTAACTTCTCCCGTTTTCCCAACATTTCCCTTCACTGCTCTACTCCTATTGATTGTAACGTGATGAAAAGTATACTATAACCAGCTCAGGAGTATGAAAAATAATTGTACCAAGTACCAAGTTTTTGTTTCTATAACGATTATACAGACAGACAGACAAAAATTTTACTGATTGCATTTTTGGCATCAGTATCGATCCCTAATCACCCACTGATAGTTATTTTGGAAATATATTTCATGTACTGAATTGACCTCTCTACAGATTTATTATAAGTATTGATAATTTTGTCAAAATACCACCGTTATACTGATAAAATTTCGAAACCTGAGGCTAAAATCGTGGCCAGAGAGCAGGGTTCGGAATGATAATCTTAATTATTATAAAACACTAAACAAACTCTTTTTTTTTTTACTTTATGAGAGTCATCTTTCAACAACTGTCAAATATTGTTTTTCTGATAGAGAAATTTATCTAGGTGTTTTTGTAGAGCAAAAATATTATACGCCCCCTTTATATAAACAATACTTTTTTATTTTTTCATTTCACTTTTTCTTCAATGTAATTTCCTAGGTGAATTTTTTGTTTTATTTTTATTATTAGAAACAACAAAAACAATTATGAATGCCTTTCAACAACTACGTTAATTACCAGATATTTATCAGATAATTATCCAAAAAAGTAATTATCTTGAAATTACGAACCCTGTTAGAGAGTTAAGCGCTCATACTCCTGATCAAGTCTCCAGGATTTCCCCTATCAATAATAATTTCTTGCTATTTTGTAGTTTGCTGAACATATCTCTGAACATCAACACGGCAGCGCGTCTGCTGCCGAAATCGCCGGAGTTCAACAATGAAAATTTTGTGATCTACATACATGGTTTCACCGACAACCCGAATAAGAAATCTTTCGGCACCATCAGCAATGGATTCCTCCATAGAGGTTGGTAATTATAGAACTTATTAATTTATTATATTTAATAAATTTTGCATGAAAATATTCTTAATGAAAAATTCCACTTTGTCCCTGGTACTCTGAGGTGGGATTTGAACTCACGACCTTCCGTAATACGGGCGACTGCTCTAGACACTGAGCTACTCAGGACCTGACAGAACTGACGAATTCTTCAAGCACTTATTACTTTTTCGCCAATGCGTATTTTCATCAATGTTCTAACAATGTCACTGTTGAGGAGTTAGGTGTTGGATTTTACGCCTTACAAACTTTGCAATGGCTATAAAAGAAGAATGCAGGAACCATGGATTTGAGTAAACTGGTAACTTAGTGATAGCTTTGCGAATTTTAGCTCCCATGCAACGGTAAACTGTGAGATTTTGGTGGTAAGGATTCAAGGGTGATTTGGGATGACATATCCGCCGGTAAGATCCATGGAAAAATCCCAAATAACCTCGTTACTTTTTAGACGGTGGAGTAATACTTAACTCATTTTCCCTACAATAAAATAAGGGCGTAGCATATACTTAAATTTTGAGTTTCAATTGAAAATCAACGCTAGGCTCTATGACAGAATATCCACCGAGTTTTCGCTTTTATTAAATGTAACTCATATTCCTATTTGCCTCTCTTTTTTACATTCAATGTAAAATAAATTTATAATGTTTTTTAAAAAAAAGGTAATGCGACTAGAAGCCAATAAAGAATTCATCTAACATATTGGACCAATGGTAAGTGGTTAGATATTCGTGTTATCGGCAAAATTGGCAGATCTTAAGAGGTTACACATTGGAAATCTTTAGCATGTACTTGATTATGTACACAACAATTAATAAAAATGAGAAATATGCATAATATTTCTAAATGAATACACTAGCCTAAAACCTGAATATCTAAGTTTCTCAATATAAAATAAATTACAAACTTACCCGCATTAAAACTAAAGGTTATGAATTTGTCTACAATTAAATACATAAATCATTTTGCTGTGGAAAACTACATTTCTTAGATTACTTAGGACTTAGAATTATTTAAAAAAAATTCTAACTTAAAGTTTGAAATTTATACCAAAATCGATACCAAATTAAAGTTGGAATTTTTTTATTAATTTGAGTGTACCTACAGCGAAATTGGCGGTATTATTAACGGAAGGTATTTAACTAAATGTAAAAACGACTTCATGTTAAACTATTTTTAGGGTTTCAAGGTTATCCATAAACTTGAATATTTCTACTAAGTATACTTATGGGGGAAACAAACACCAGCAAAGAAAAACTTACTGAGCAACTCAAGTTCGAAGCGAGTTTTTTCATAATAAATCATAAAATTCCGAAAACAGCTGACGTACGAGGAAAATCCAATAAAAAAATAGCACACTTACTTACTTAAAGTTTATACCAAACGAAACCTTGAGATGTCAAACTCATAATTTGTATGTGTAATGTTTGTAGACCGATTAAAGGCGACAACAAAACTGCCCTGTCCATAGATGTACCAGTAGAATAGCTGCGTATAACAGAAAGCCAATGACCACTCTGCCTAAAGCGAAATGACTAAGACATAATGAACTAACTATATTCTCGCGACTTCGCCCGTGAAAAATATAGCCTAAAGTTACCCACGAATGTTATAGCTTAACGTAGGCGAAAATCGGTCCAGTAATTTAGGAGAATATTCAATAAAAACAAGGAAACAAATCTTTCCTCTATATATTACCATCTGTTTTCCCGCCACTTCTACAAGATATTGAGTCGATTTTTGTAGGAATAGAAGGGATATATCAAAATTATCGGTATTTATTTTATCAATTAATACCTACATCAATATTTCTTTAATATTTTAAATATCAATATATATGCGTCAACTTTCTTAATGGATGTGCGGGCGCTCTACTTTGCCATATAAACTGATTTTTTACTTATTTCCTGTATTATTGTAACAAAACTTGTTAAAGCAATTTGCATTACTTGACCGTGAAAAGTACATAAGTGATGCGATCAAGTTGCTGTCGAGGATGACGAGATAATGTCGCAATTCACCATACATATTTAATATACCAAGAAAATTGTGATCCTACGCGCCATGTTTCGAATAATGATGATTGTAGGTATTAGAATATATAACATGTATCGTATTTTAAAAAACCCGACCCGTTATAACAAAAATCGTTCGTATTGTTATAAAAAAGTATTATAAGAAAATAAAGAATCAAACTCATTCATTTTACCGATTTTAGTCAGATTCCCGAAATCCTGGAAATTTACTACCTACCTAATACGAAATATATTTTAAAAAATAAACAATCTCCTCAAGAATAATTTTCAGTATAGCATTGTGAATGCATAAATCATCAAATATTAGAACTAATTTTCATCTTAATCGAAAGTTTAAATATTTTTAAACATATTTTTTTCGGCTGTTTGGGCAGATTGCCTCGAACATTGAAGAAAATACTCTCTATAGTAGCGAAAAAGTTACAAGTGCTTGAAAAATTCGTTAGTCCTGTTAGGTCCTGGGTAGCTCAGTGGTTAGAGCAGTCGCCCGGTTTGCAAAAGGCCATGGGTCCCATGTCAGAGTGCCAGGGACAAAGAGGATTTTTAGCATTTTTCATTAAGAATAAGCAATCTATCAAAATGAGTACGCAACTCAATGGAACTTTGGAATATACGCTTACGGAAATCGATGAATATACATAATAAAATTAACCCGTCCATCGACTACAACGCGTATGTTGAATGTTTCCATCAAAATCGATAAAAATATAAACCATACGCTTTACAAGAAAAAAGTAATTTTGAAAACATCTCTTACTTTATTATAATTATTTCATCAATTTTGCAGTCACTATTTTTCATTACGAATATCTATGACTTTTTTATTTTAATAATTGATGTAGTTAACAACTATCATTAATTTATTCGTACTATTCTGTCACAAAAACAGCCCTGTCAACCAAATAGAACTTACTTCAAAGACCAATAAAGATTTTATTCCATTGTAGGTCTATGACGTGACAGTTGAGACGGCTAGTTTTAGGCTGTTTTCTAAAAGAATTGAATAGCTGACAAGTTTAATTAATTATCTAAATAGGAAAACAAAATATACATAATAAATTAATAATACTACCAACTTTACCGATTGAGATGAGAGAGATTGGTTTAAAAAAATCTGTTACCTTTTCCGTAATTAAGTGCATGCGATCTTGTGGTCACTAAAATAACTCGTTTGTGACGAATCGTAATCACGATCAACAATACAATGTCAACATGATTCACTGAGAACTGGAAACAATCATGTTGTAATCATTCGCATCTCGAATGGTAACATATACTTTTGAGACAAAATAGCATTACTTAGACGACCAACCAGGAGAAAACAAGACGTACCTAATCCTCAGGCATATTTTGAACGTGCTCTCAGCACGCACTATTTTGAAATGGAAGTGCACGCTTTAAAGTACAGTGTCAGCTTCGATGCTTGTTGTTGGTTGGAAAAACACACGACTGATTAAGCTTGATAAGTTGGTATATTTATAGTCTAAAAAAACTGTAACAATAAACAAAATATAACCTAAAACCAGTTCGTATGAATTACTAAAAATATGATTTATAGAAACAATAACATACCTCTTTCTTGAGTTTATCTAGAGTTCTAGAGGATACGATGCAAGTTTATAGACGTACACTTCATAAATTCGAGGACCTCGATAATCGAGTGGTTCGCCGGTTTCAAGGTGTCGCCATCTCTGAGGTCCCGGGTTCGATTCCCGGTCGGGTCAATGTAGTAAATGAACTTTTCTATATTGTCTCGGGTCTGGGTGTTGTGTTACCTTCGTTGTCTCAAGTACTCCATAATACTGGTTTTACATCTTGAAATCTGAGCAATGTACGTGATGTTGTTTCATATTTATTTATTATTTAAATACAACTCGTAAATCATAGCATAGATCTTAAATGTACATACAAAATATTATATTTTAATGATGATCGTGTTGATGCCCAAAGAATTTTTTACGAACTGACATTCAGAAAGAGCATATCGCGTTACTTAAAATTTCAAAATACAAAAAAAGCTCCCTTATTAATATAAATAAATTACTCAATTTACAGAAATTAAATCATTAGAATTGATGTAAGAATTCTCGATATTAAACATCGGCTACATGCTACATAATGCACACACCTATATAAATATTTAGGGTTTCTCGGTAAACAAGAAACCGTTATAGTTTCGCCATATCCATCTATCCATTCGTCCGTGGTTTAGCTCAAATACCATTGGTACTAAAAAGTTGTAATTTGGCAAGTGACAAAGTAAAATTTTGGAAAAAAATATGGTAACTCCTTTACGTTTAAAGTGGGTATGATAATTTGTTTTTCCATCTTACCCATAGTGTGGAACATCGTTGGATAAGTCTTAATAAGTATATTAATCGTTGGATAAGTCAAAAATATTGGGGGTATGGTCGTTTTTCGATTTAGCAAACCGTTGCGACTTATTAATCTTTAAAGAGCTAATTTTCGTTAGAGTCAAGTCCCCCCTCTTTTACCAACTAAACGGTCGTTGGTAAAAATTCAAAGATAACGGCAATAGTATATAGATACTATTGCCGTTATATTTGGTATAGACCTATATAACGAAGTTAAAATGGAAGTATCACACGTAGTTAATTTTACAAGTTTACCAGTAATATACATTAAATTTTTCATTAGTTTAAAGCGACATTAATTACCTATACAAATTTGACATTCCTTGGAGCTTAAAGGCGGCATTAAACCTTAAAGAACGTTGGTGCAACTGGCTGATAGTCGACCAATTGTATTTAACACGAATATTTCTAACAACTCCATTAAAAACAACAAACGTGGTTTTATTTTTTTAATGGAGTCCGACTTGCATTTGGTCGGTTTTTAAAGTAAATGAATTACATTTATAATTATAAACTGTCACTTTTTTAACGAGTAATGTTAAGAAATCTACGATTAAGTCCACAAAATAAATTTTTTATTAATGCACCATTAGACATTGATATATAAGATGATCTTCCCATTATAGTAATAAAATCATTTCCCGATCTTAATTACATTTAGAATATCACAAAAGACCGAAGAAATTTACAACATCGAAACGGTTTAAAACTGATGACATCTCATGATGAATGCATAACCACAACCAAGCATACACACAAACATTTTAATAAAATAAGTACACTTGATCTAGACTTTATTTCTTATTCCAAAATCAATTTTAAACTAACAGGTGTGCGGTCGCCTATCTCTCAAGCTATATCTCTAGCCTCTCTCTCTAGTTAGGCGGTTGCTCTGCAGGTCTTTGGAAGGTCCCATCTGAATCAACGCTTCAAAGAAATAGTTCTTTCACTACTGTTTTCAATGTAAGATTATGTTTTAGGAATGTACAACATTTTGGCGCTAGATGGCAGCACTTTGATCCATTGGTTCTACCTGCGCTCCACGACTTACGTGCGGTTCATGGGGGAGAAACTGGGCAGCATCCTCGCTGACCTGGTCAAAGGTTTGTGCTAATTGACTAATTTAATTAATAGACAAAAGCAAGCCGCCCCAGATCCTGACTCAATATAGTAGCAACCTCTACTTATGTCTGGTCATCAAAATACTTATGGATTCATTAGTGTGATTCCACCATAATTAGTACCTCTAATGAAAGCTATACGGTTGATGCATTCTGTTACAAAATAGCGTCGATGCATAGCCTGTATTTAAGCGAGTTTAAGCTACAAACTTCCAACTTACATTGGTTGAACCGACGTCCCCTAGTTAACAATACCCAACCCGAAGGGTATTTCCTAAACATTCGAACGACTATGGCTTATACGGATGTGTGGTCTTGGGCTCTCGAACCACTGGATCAGTCGAGACTGATACAAGCGCAAGATAGTCCACCTTTTAAAATGTTTAGTACTCTATTTCGTCAGTTAGACCCCAATAACCAGCAGGGAATGCCTAGAAAACCACCTTTGGTCCTAGAGAATAATGAATATCTTCATTTAATTCCAGAGGGTCTTCCGGCGTCATCTATTCACATAGTAGGTCACAGTCTAGGCGCACACATCTCCGGGTTCACTGGCAAACAGTTCCTGAAGCTGACCGGGCGGCGCGTGGGGCGCATCTCGGCATTAGACCCGGCGGGGCCGTGCTTCTCGAACCTGGAGCCGGACCTGAAGCTGCACGCCGATGACGCGGACTACGTAGACGTCATACACACTAACGGTGGAGTCGCTGGGTTGAAGGAACCTGTCGGTCAGTGGCTGACCTTTCATAATAACAGGAAATCTGATAAAACTGTTAGGGTTGTAGTTATCTGTAGAAGCATTACCTAACAAATAAAACGGGGATCGCGCTATAGTACAGCGTCTATCGTGAGTTTTAATGACGTATATTCGTTCGTTAGTATGAAAACTGGCATAGCGCTCCTAGCGGTAACTATCGAGAACTAAAAACTACGTACAAATTCTTAACGCGCTCACTAAAACTTACACTTACCGCCCTGATGACACACTTTTTAGGATTTCTTACATAGAAAGGAAAAAAGCGGGACCCTTATAAGATCACCTTGTTGTCCGTCCGTCTATCAAGCCCCTTTATCTCAGGACCGCGTAGAGGTATCAAGCTGAAATTTATATCAAATACTCAGGTCTAACTATCCGCTGGAGCCGTGAAAAAATCAAACTAAGCCAACACAATCGTCAGATACAGCCGATTATCCCGCATATTTTTGGCACGAAGCAGCAATTATTTTAGCAAAAGTACAGATAAAGGAAAAATTGCGAGCACCTTAAATTTTTGGTGACATAATAAAAATATTTATGATAAATACCTGCAGGTTTGTACGGAACCCTCGCACTTGGCCAGTTTTTTACATTGCCTACAATTTTTTTAGGTATCATTTTTACCTATAACCGCCCATTAATAAGTACGGCTGAACTATGCGCAAGCGGCTTTAAAGAGGGACATCTATCGTTTACATCTATTGCAGGACAAGTGGACTACTACCCGAACGAGGGTAAACAGCAGCCCAACTGTTTAATAGACACGTGTAGCCACAGCCGCGCGTGGGAGGTGTTCGGGGAATCTCTGTACAACGAGACAGCGTTCCCGGCCGTACGATGTGACAGCTGGGAACAATTCAAGAAAGGGAACTGCAGTGGTATGAGGTCTGTTGTAACAAGAATTTCCTTTGCATGTGAAATAGGTTCAGTGAATTATCATTGGAAAGTTTCAGTCTAGCGAAACGGCGACGACAGCGCAAAATGGCGACTTATCATTTTCTAAAACAGTATGTATACTAAACGAAAGGATTATTCGAGTGGGAATAAGTACTTGCTAATTGGAAAGAGTTTTTGACTAAAATTAAATTATCAGTTCAGAAATTAACCCTAGCTCTCCGCAAAGCATTGTATTTTGGGGGTTCACTAAAGTATTGGTCGTATTCGGCTTTAAGTAAACTTATGTATGAAATTCATTATTACTAAATAGTAGCTACCACGCTATTTTAATTCCATCCATAGAAAAGGCTTGTGCCGTACTAGTAGGAATAATAAAAAATAGACCGAATATGAAATCAACATTAAATTTCAGGTTCAGTTTTTTTACAGCTTCATAAGATTCATAATAATAATAATTTATTTGCGTTTGAATAGGGTATACAAAAGAGATGTAAAAGGTAATACAATTATCGCCTATTCAGCCATTAACAATAGCATGCAAATGTAGTAAAAGAAGATACTATAAGCACTGATTAATCCACCCAGGCTAACGTTCAGTTTCTACAGTCTAAGAACTCATGCAACGAATAAAAGGAACGCTCAGCAAGCCAGTTATATAACTCTCTCTTAAATCTAGTAAAAGGTATTCTTTATCGATTCCGGAATCTTATTAAATATTGTTTGACACATACAATAGCAGTTATTTTTAAATCGCGCGCTTTTTGGGACTATGTCAAGAACTAGCCTATTTTTATTTCTAGTATTCCTGGGATACACTTCATGAGCTATTTTGTAATAATCAGGGTATCGTTTGGCAAATTTCGCTGCTTCAAATAAATATAAGCAAGGAAGAGGTAGAATACCAAAAAATTTAAACCATTGCTTACATGAGACGTCGGGTGCGATACCACATATGGATCTTATGCATTTTTTCTGGGCAATAAATACCCTTTGCGCATCTGTACCATTGCCTCAAATAATAATTGCATAACGTAAAATTGACTCCACATAAGCGAAGTATGCTGTGAGAGCCGTACTTCTTGTCGCTAATGAGAAGCTATTTATCTTATTACAAACTATTTCTGCATGTTGTTTCCAATCTAGTTTCTTGTCAATAGTTGCCTAAGAATTTAACGTTATCAGCTTCTTCAAGAGTGCATTTTTTGTATTTAATAATCAAGTTATTAGAAATTAAATTATTAAAATTGATAAAATATGTCTTGTCTATTATTTTAGTTTTCAAAAAGGTTCCATCGCCAAAAAATATTGAGCCACTGCTATAACATAAGGCCTACAACTAAGTTTTGGATCTGAGCAAGTACGTGATGTTGTCTAATTTATATTATTGTTCCAGTTACATGGGAATAGCGTCGCAGCCTGGTACCACCGGTAATCACTATCTGCAGACGGCGGCATCACCACCATACGGGCTCGGTATTGCCGGAACACAGTATAAAAATAACGTTGGATTCATAGAAAATTTATTAGGATAAATTAGATCACAAAACTCTCGTTAGTTACTGTATATTAAACAAAAAAATATTTAAAAATTTAGATTTCCAAGCCGCCATAATAATATTCACAAAGACTTATTAAATGTAAGTGAAGATAATGATGCTAACTCTGTCGCTACTGAACTAAGAAAAACTAATTTTAATTTGGTTTTGACTTGTATGTTACTCTGTTGATACGTATAAATCTCAAAAAATATAATTATTGTGTTGTGTAATAAGTAGATACAAGTATGTACTATACTTCTGTTATCTTTTTTGTTAACATAATTGGAAAGGCAGTTTGACTGTATTAATAGTTGGTCTAATTTGTGTCACCAGAATTGCTACCATTTTATTAATAGAAAAATGTGTTGCCAAATGTGCAAATTCCAGTTGCCAATAACAAATATAAGATGTGTTTTACTAATAACTTTATATGTGATATAATTTACGAATTAACCAAATTTGTTGGTCATAGTATTTTGTTGGTCAGGGAATAATATTTTAAAGTTTTAATTGCCTTATGAAATAAAGAACGTCTGAAAAGATTTGAACATTTATTTTTTAAGGTGCATTAAATCCCGCAGTATAACAACAAAGTATAATGCATCCCGTAGTATAGTACAAAGTATAATGCCATAATAAGAAAATAGAAAAAAAGGAGCAAATAGAAAAAAAGCGCGGGAAACTTTAAACTAGGCGGACGAAAATTTTCTTGCAAAATTAAAAAAAAAATGTTTTGTTAATTTAAACGAATCAGATAAGTTGTGTAGTATGTAATATCGTAATTGTATTTTTGTATATTTATCCTGTATATTTTCGGTAAGTTTTTATAATATTTATTGTATGGATACATTTGTATGAATAAACCACCGGATCTAACCGCGGGGGACTTAGGTCCTGACCTGGGGGGACCCTGTTGGATATAATGTAACTGTAAATAATAATTCTAATAACGAAATGTACACTGACGCCTCTATAAGCAGTGCGGATGGTTGAATGCGTAAAAGGTCCAGATACCATAAGCGTTGTAAAAATTGTAATAAAAAGAGGAAGAGAAGCTCACATATCGGTACAGGTACTTCTAGCGAAATAGATTGGCAATATACTTTATTAGATAAAAATGTAGAATTTAAAAAACCAACAACTCCCATAATTAACAATAACAAACAGAGAGACGACTCAAAAGCTGATTCTACTTTATTCCCACGTACAGAGGTAGGTCGTTAACATTATATTTCTCCAGATTTATCCCCGTATATTGTTCATGTACAAAGAATTCAAGACTCTCCGGGTGATGGCTCCACACTTCATCCTATTACTTTTGGCAACTTTTTAAAGAAAAATAATTTTCAAAATATTGTGACAGGAAGTATTAAAAGGATAGATCGTAATAGATGTACTGTATCGTTTTCCATAATTAAAGATGCCAATGACTTTTTAAATAATAAAAATTTTATCGATTTTAAACGTCGTGCATTTATTCCCGTATTTAATGTTACTAAACTTGGTATTGTACGTGGTGTACCAGCCGACTGGACACCAGAAGAAATTAAAAGCAATGTCTCTATTCCAATGGGTTGTGGAGAAAATATAAAATTACGGAGACTTAATTATAAAGTTCACGTTGATGGGTCAGTGATTTCGAAAACAACTCAGTCTGTCGTATTTACATTCGATTGACAAGTTCTTCCTAAAAGAGTATACATTTTTTACAATGCACTACCAGTTGAACTCTATACCTACCCAACAATCCAATGCTTTAATAGTTGTCGATATGGACACACAAAACTTGTTTGTCGGTCACCTCCGAGATGTTTCAAATGTGCTCAGGATCATAAAAGTGAAAACTGTTCAGTGGAGGAAAGTTGTGCACTGTGTATAATGTGTTCAGGGTTTCATTACGCTACGAATAAAATCTGTCCGGAATTCCAACGTCAAAAAGACATTAAATTGATTATGTCCCAAAGCAGTATCACTTACATGGAAGCTAGCAAACTCCACCCACCAATATCAAAACCATATGCTGGTGTTGTAGCAACTTATCAAACATCTGACATAAATAATTATAAGAGACAGGATCAAAAATCACAAAATACCTCATATAAAAAGACTGTTTACTTAAAACCATGTTCACCGATAATTTAACGAAAGGATATGACCAGCTAGCACTTAATAAGATTATAAGTGATTATGATATGCCTTGTACCTCATCAAATGGTTCTGCATTTAAACCAAGTACCAATGAATAATTTGAAAATAAGAATGTAATTGAAACAGTTATTTCATTACTTAATACTTTGTTAACAAAACCTACATTAAAACCGTCCAACGTTGCCATTATAGTTGAAATAATATCTAACCTAATCGCCAATAATGGATCTAAAAATCCTACAGTGGAATTGTAGAAGTGCAACGTCAAAAAAAAGTGTCTTAATTCATTTAATTAACAAATACAATTGCTCGGTGGTAGTATTATCTGAGACGTGGTTAAAGCCAGGCATTCTATTTGGAATCCCTGGTTTTACCTGCCTCAGAGAAGATAGACCAGATGGTTATGCAGAAGTAGCCATACTTGTTAAAAATACAATGTCCTTCGGGCGGCTGACCTTGCCAACTGCTATATAGTCATTTTATATTATTATGTATTTGGAGTGATTGCCGATAATTTTGGAATAAGATAAAATTTAAATAATTCTTGTATGTTTAAAGAAAGACTATCATCTATTATCGAATAAAATTTTAGTAATATCTTGAATTGCAAGAGAAAGAATATTTAATGGATGTTGTATTTATGTACTTTATTTCTATCATTTTTGAAATCATTTATGATACCGCCAGAGCGCCATAACTCTATCAAAGGTACCTTATTTTGAAGCCGTATATATTGATAGCATTTGAGAATTGTACAATATACTCTCACTAATGGATTCTCTATTATAATAAAACTTTAGAAGTATTAAACAAAGGTACGCCACGTTCACACTAACTTGCTGTGATATCCGCGCCGCGCACTCCAAAGCTGCACACATCAACAAGTTGCACCTATAATTCGAACGAAAGAGATGAAACATCCAGCCAGCGCGTAAGTGAAAGAGATAGGCATAATTTACCTGGCGCACAGAATAATATTTCCAATCGTAGAGCTGACGCTCGTCTGAAAATTATACACATGCAAAAAATTAAACATCATAGAAAACGAAAATATTATTAGTCGGATTGAAAAGCCGCTGTGGTTATATTTTTATGATAGGTAACCATTATGATAGGTATTAATTGTTGGTAACCATTTTTGACATTTAAAAACAGATCCAACAAACAGTGTTTTCCAAATAAATCGTCGTTACTGCAAGATTTTGACAAATTCGAAAAATTGTGAAACTCACGTCTGCCAATATTCTTTTTGTGCAAAAGTTGTTTTACTGCGAAACAAGCAACGACGTTTTTTGTTTTAATTAAATTTAGTTCATCGCCTTGTAGTTGGACATTCATGTCGTTGAACAATTTATACAGGTCTGTCATGTAAGCTATATCATTCTTTGATGTAATGAGCTTGTTGTGCAAATCTGTATATTTAGTTTCCAAGAACTCTATCAAAGAGTTAAACAGTTCGTAAAATCGAATCAGAAATTTGCCTTTTGATAGCCAACGAACTTTAGTATGAAACAACAAACGGCTAAAATCCTCGTCATTAGTAACACAAAGCTGATGAAATAATCTATCATTCAAAGAGCTGTTGCGGATTTTATTGACTGCTTACATATTGCAGTGATTGAAATAGTCGTTCACTCAAGTTTGGAGCGACAAACGTTGTTTCTGAATAATGCAATATACGGCAAGGACATCTGAAATTTGATTTTTTAAGTGCGTGTAGTAGAATGTATTAAAGTTTTAGAAAATAGTTTTATCAAGCTAACAGAATTTTTTTGAGTCGAACGAGTGAAAACTCCTTATGACATTCGTATCAAAAGCCAATGCGCGCGCAAGGCAGTCAGGTGAGTGTTCTGCGCATGTGCGAGATCTATGCTACATCCGCTACAAAACCTTTATGGCACCAAGTTATAGCCGGAGCGCCATCCGTAGTCACTGATATAATATTTTTCAAAGAAATCTCTTTCTCATTACAAAACTTTCGCCTTTTATATCAGTCTCTAAATTTCTAGCAAACAATAGTTCTTCACATATTTTCTCATATTTAATAAACTTCAGGTAAGACAGCAACAACGCTTCATTTGTTGGTAAAGTGGACTCATCAATTTGAATTGAGAATTGACTTGTTCTCGGGTAATCGCACAATGATCCTTCAATGTTTTCAGCCATTTCATCAATTCGTCTTTGCACAGAATTATTACTCAAATAAATTTTTCGGATAATTTCTGCGACCGGTTAATGAAGCACAGTAGTTAATACGTCTTCTCCGATTTTATATGGTTTGCCTTTTTTAATAATTAAGAAAGAGATATTGTACATCTTGCTTAGCAGCCGCCGAAAATAATTTTGCTACACTTGGCTGAGTATTATGCTTTTTCTCTAGGTCTTGAAAATGTGCTACATTCTTGTCTTTCATCATTATTCAAATGATCTTGCAGTCTTGAAGACTTCATTACTTCATTCGAAAATGTTTTCAGACATAGAAGGCGTCAAGACGACGATGGGTTGTGGAATTTTCAATGATTCCGAATTTAATATATTCCGCACAGTATCTCCGACTCTTCTCTTTTACTTCCGACATTGTTTTGTTTTGTGAAATACGTAAGTAAGTGTTGAACTTAAGTAGGTACTGCTTATCTATTATGCGCGGAACCGCAAATGAAAATAAAATAATAATAAGCAAACATGCATTAACTCGTTTATCTCATTCGATGCTTGATCGTGCTCAACAAGTAAGAACAAATATTATATGAACCAGCCGATTGATACAGGAATGCACAATCATTCAATCATTTTTTAACAAGTTTTTGTTAAATAACCCTATTATTTAACAGAAACTTGTTAAAAAA